GTATCTTCAATGAGAAGGGCAGCAGGGCTGGAGTAGGGGGTGAATCACTCCAGTCCCTGGGTAGTAGGTCAGAGAGGGAGTAGAGTTTTCTTCAGTGTATGTTAGGAAGCTGTTGGAATGTTCATCAGAGGCATGACGTGGATATGGTCTGGGTTAGTGTGAGAAAAGGACCAGTGTTTGCAGTGTGGAGGTAAGACTCTCCAGGGGCCCAGAGGGAAGCCAGGAGCCCAGTTAGGAGTTACTGTCGTCTTCCAGGTGAGAGAGGTGGTGGCTTGGACTAGGATGGTAATGATGGTGGTGGTGAGAAGCCATGGGATTCTAGATTCATTCTGAAAGTAGAGCTGACAAGATAGATCAGATGTGGGGTGAGAAAAGAAAGTTAGAGATGACTTTTTTTTTTTTTTAAGATTTCATTTATTTGTCAGAGAGAGCATAAGCAGGGGGAGCTGCGGGCAGAAGGAGAAGCAGGCTTCCCACTGAGCAGGGAGCCTGATGTAGGACTCGATCCCAGGACCCTGAGATCACGACCTGAGCCAAAGGCAGTCGCTTAACGAACTGAGCCACCCAGGTGTCCCCAGAGGTGACTCTTAAGATCATCTGTGAACAGTTACTTGTGGAGATGGGTCTAGGTCTGGAGTATACTGTGTGTCCAGAGAAGTCTCAATAGGAGGGGAAGCCTCAGGTGTGGAAATTGCTTAAAAGGGGCCTTGAAAAGTGGCATGAAAGGTGCTTTTATAGGAAATAAAGCAATATGAGGGGTACAGCACTTAAAATAGAGTTATGTTCTGACTCCAGTCCTCAAAATATGCCTGGAGTCCATTCGTTGGAAAAAGTGGTGATTTATCCTAAACAGAGCCTGCACGCTGATGGCATGTTGCCCTGGGAGGTATGCTATGTTTACAACAGCTTTTATGTTGGTGAAAATAGTTTTTATGTTGAAGATATTCATTAATTACTATTATTTTATTCTTATGTGCTTTCTTAGCTCAGTTGACTTTGATACAGAGAACCATCGTATTAAATATTGCCTAATCTTGTGGTTATTCTCTCCATATTCTTTGTGAAAGTTGATGAAATGAACTGATATTTTATGTGTATATTGCATAGGTATGCTGTTTTTATTTTTCTTTTTAGGCTGAAAATGGTATAGGATTTAATGAAATTAAAATTATACATGACAAAAGAAGAACATGCATCTGAGTGCCTATTTGGTGTAGAGCATTGTAGAGGATCCACAAGACATGGTCCATATACTGAAGGGATTTATAATGTGGTAGGAACATCAGAGATGTGGTGACACAGCTATAGGACCCCATTGTAGTACTTTGATTCTTGCCGTGAAATAGAATTCTTATTTTATCAGTTAGTGGATGAACTTTCCTCACTTTGGTTTAAGGACCACGGAATAGGGTTAACATATCCACCAAAACACTGAGAGAGTTAAAAACAAGATAAAATACCTACTTTTGAAAATTAGCATTTGTGTAGTGCTTTACTCATTTAATCCTGTGAACTAGGTATTATCTCAGTTTTAGAGAGGACTCAAAGTGCAGCGATACCCAAGGTGACAAAAAATCCTAAATATATTTATTAAGTGTTCATCATATGTTTAGAATATTAACATATTCTAAATGGTCCTTTGATCCAAATCCCATGCCGTTTCCATTACAAGTACTGTGTCCCTCTCCCCCCTTTTATTCATAGTTGGAAACATCCTGTTTCTTAGTTGGGTTAAAGGGGAAGTAAGTTAGATCTCAACTGTTACTAATTCAGAAAGAGAAAACCTTTGGCACATTAAAAAACATTAGTTCGTTGTCCTTGGAAATAATGGTGGAGTTCATGGGCTTCTGATGAGGTGAAGGGCTGTTACTGATATTTTATTTTTATAACAGTGTTTTCGTTTGCAGAGTTGGGAAGTTTCAAAATTTTTTATTAGTAAACTTTTCATATATTCAAGATAGTACAGTGCATATGTAAATATGAAGAATTATATAAAACAAACTAGCCTATTAAATAGTCCCCAGCTAACATATAGAAATTATCCATGCCTTTTGGGGCTTACACTACCCCCTCAAACAGTTAACAGTGGTATTGAGTTTTACATTGCTCTAAGGTGTTTTCTGTAAATATCTTTAATTTAGGAATTAAAATCTTTTAAATATTGTGGGTAAGTTTCATCTTGTTTGACATAACTATTATGAAAATAGCTCTTCAGAATTATATTTTGATTTACTTATTTATGTTAAAATAAAAAAGGGTTTTGTGTACATACAGGCTGTTACTTAAAAGGCAGCTTGGTTTCAGATCTGTAAGTTAGGAGACGATTAGATTCAGAAGTTGCAAAGATGTGGAAGGAGGGAATCTTGAGGAAGAGGAAAAGGATTTCCTGTGAATCAAGAAAATTGCTCGCTGGTGTAGTGTTTCTGCTTCTTAGTACTAGGAAAAAGAGAACAGAGAGGTGGGATCTGAAAACTAGCCTTTCTCAAGGTGTTCTTGGCAAAGTTGGTACCACCAGTGAGTAGCTAAAAGAGTGAGTGAAGGGGGCGCCTGGATGGCTCAGTCGTTGAGCGTCTGCCTTCGGCTCAGGTCATGATCCCGGGGTCCCGGGATGGAGTCCCACTTCAGGCTCCTTGCTCAGTGGGAGCCTGCTTCTCCCTCTCCCACTCCCCCGCTTGTGTTCCCTCTCTCACTGTCTCTCTGTCAAATAAATAAATAAAATCTTAAAAAAAAAAAAAAGTGAGTGAAGTATGGCTTCAAAGTTTTATGACAATAGCAAATTTCCTAGAAGTTAGAAAGTGTTTATATTAACTAGTTTTTGAGTAGTGAAGACTACTTTAGGGGTCATAGCTGATGTCTTGTCATTGTCTTTATCGCTGAGCCACTGAAACCTGAATCTGGTGCATGTAGCATGACACTAATTTCCATTTGCTTGGTAAAGTTTGTGTGTAGTCTTTCATCTTTTAGGAATTGTAATCCTCATAGTTCTTAGTTTTAAATGGGTAAGGAGAGTTTTAAACAATGCCTGTGATGTAATTTTAGGGGCGTCGTCATATACATGTGCGTACATGCACATATATGTATGCATATGCATAAAATGCCTTACTGTGTTTGCCTTGGCAGTCGCTACGTACATATAGGTATACATACATATTCTCTACCTGCATATAGGTAGAGAATAAGCCTACAGATGATGGGTGTCTTGGCTAAGAGTGGGGGCTCTGGAATTAAACTGTCCAAGTCCACATCCTGGATTGCCGCCAGCTAGCTCTGTAACCTTCGTTAAGTTAGTTAACCTCTTTGTGATGGTGTCTCTATCTATACAATGGCGGTAATAAAACCTGTCTGCCTTAGTGGTAGGGAGGATTAGTACACAGGAAGTTCTTAGAGCTCAGTGCTTATTTATAGTGCTTATAGTGCTCCACGAATGTTGGCTGTTATTTAAAACTTGTCCCTAGTGCCTTTTGGTTAGAAGCACACTCCATTGCTTAGGTTGCCGTTTGTGTGTGGGGAGATGTTCTTTCTAGAACCATGTCTCCTTGTCACATGATTATGTGCAGTGCAAGCCTTATTCATACTCTGTCAGCAGTTGAGATTTGAACATAAGTGTGTGGCCATACCCGCTGGAATCCAGCAAGAGAGAGAACTAAGCACCATAGCAACTGTTGCTATTTGTGTCCTGAGCAGCAGCTGCCCTGGACAGATTTATTTTTTAATCCTGATCTCACTGATAGCCTGGGATGGGGCCGTGCCTTAGAGAAGTGGATTGGTTGAGATGTCTGGTCTTTGAGGAGATTTCATGACTACATGTTATAAAGATTCTATTCCATGTGAAATATGAGGCTCTAAAGCTTTGTGTGTATGAGAAAGGAAGAGAGGCTAAGCCTCAGCGTTCAGACAGTCCCTGAAGTATAGTGTAATTGGACTAATCACACAAGAAATACTTTCAGTAGGGACAGTAAGGCTTCATGCTTTTCAGTCAAAAGAGTAATTTTACTGTCTAGGGGCGCCTGGGTGGCTCATTTGGTTGAGCGTCTGACTTTGGCTCAGGTCATGATCTCAGGGTCCTGGGATCGAGCCCAAGTAAGACTCCCTGCTCAGGGAGGAGTCTGCATCTCCCTCTCCCTCTGCCCCCCGCCCCCCCCGCTCCTACTCGGGTGTGCTTTCTCTCTCAAATAAATAAATAAAATCTAAAGAAAAAGTAATTTTGTTGCCTGCAACATTCTGCAGATGATTTGTGGTCTGTGATTCCACTCTGTACAGGCATAATACACTTATGTACGTGTATACATACATATATATAACATGTTATCAAATGTGGATTTCAGAAATAAGACTGTCTTTCCGATGAATACTTAATTATCAAATGCTTTTCTGGGTGCCTGGGTGGCTCAGTCGTTAGGCATCTGCCTTCGGCTCAGGTCATGATCCCAGGGTCCTGGGATCAAGTCCCGCATCAGGCTCCCCGCTCAGCGGGAAGCCTGCTTCTCCCTCTCCCACTCCCCCTGCTTGTGTTCCCGCTCTCACTGTCTCTCTCTCTGTCAAATAAATAAATAAAATCTTAAAAAAAAAATGCTAAAGTAGATAATAAGATCTTTAAAAAGGGTTTATTTCAGGTAGTAGTTGTATTCAGTAATTTTCTAATTTTTATTTCTAATGTATTGAAATATTTATGCAAATAGTTATGTGGCCCGTTTCTGAATTTTGGCTGCTTATTTACCTATGGTTTAGCTATAAAATATTTACTGAGCACCTGCTATGTACCAAGCTGTGTTCTGAATCCTAGTGGTACCCAGTGAATACTGATGGTCTGATTCTTTTAAGTTCTATATACAGATCCTGCCTTTTAAAAGTGTGATTATTTTTATTTTTCGATTACCTTCTTCAGATTCAGTGGTATGAATTTACTGATTTGGATGTTTTGAACTTAAACATAACTTCATGTTGAGCTAAAGAACATGTAACCAAGTGACTTATAAAATCAAATCATTTTCATTCTCTAGGTATTATTAACCCAAAGAACCCAAAGGAAGCTCCAAAGTCCTTTAGTTTCGACTATTCCTACTGGTCTCACACCTCGGTGAGTATACTTACGCTGCAGTATAATAGAACAGTGCAGGTTGTGAACAGTTTTGAAAGAGCTTGAAGGTCCAGATGGAGTACAGAGATGACCAACACCTAGGAAAATGGAGAGAGCGAGGCCCTTTGCAGTATTCTCCTTAATAGAGGACCCCAAATCTTGTTGGCTTCTAGGGATTGTTCCTGAACTACAGTTTGCATTTGCTTTTCTTCATTACATGTTTTTAGTTTTTTGGGTTTTTTTTTCTGTTTTGTGCTGGAGTAGGAGAGGTTTTAAACTACTGACAGAGCCTGATGGCCAACAGAAGGGCCTGTGAAGGGGGTTGGACAACATTTATCACTGAAAGCTAGGTTTATTGAGAAATAGCTATACTACCTGGAGTGAGTACAGGGAAGTATTTGTATATGTGGACTTGACCTTTGAGCTTTTAGTACCATTTTCCATTTAAGAAAATTTTCTTGCACCTTTCTGTGAATGGAAGAGTGATACTTTTAAGGTTATGGAAAGTGACATGTAATCAAGTGAGATAATTTCATGTAGCTATTTTTATGTATGGCTGAGCTGGATGACTGTGTGTGTGTTTAATAAGAGAAAAATAAGCTATGTGTAGGAGGGCCTTAAAAATTTTATAATATATTTTAATAATTGTTGAGATTCCAAACACTTGAATTTATTATAGCAGTAATCAAATAAGCATAGGAAAGTATACGAATAAAATGTCACTTATTTCTTCTTTTAATTTTACAGCCTGAAGATCCCTGTTTTGCATCTCAAAACCGTGTGTACAATGACATTGGAAAGGAAATGCTCTTACATGCCTTTGAGGGATATAATGTCTGTATTTTTGCCTATGGGCAGACTGGTGCTGGGAAATCTTATACAATGATGGGTAAACAAGAAGAAAGCCAGGCTGGCATCATTCCACAGGTAAGAAAACAAAAAACAACAAAAGACCTCTGTTTAATATTACTCTTAGTCTTTGATTGCTGTAACAGTTATTTTTATTTAGCAAACATTTATTCAGGGACTGTCATATGCAAGGCACAAAAACAAATCACTTGTTCCTTTCCCTCAAAGGAGCTAATAGTCTGATGTGTATACATGTCTGTCTTTAAAGGTGGGGAAGGTGGCATTCTGTAAAGGTTTTGCTGTATACCCTTGTCTGGGTATTTTATCTTTTGAAGAGTGTTACCAGCTTCTTAAAAAAAAATGGTAGTATATACCAGGCTTTGTTCTGAATCCTGGGGATGCCTGATCGGTGTTGTTGGTCAGATTTTTTTCCCCATCTCCCATATATAGATCATCTTTTAAGCGTGTGATTATTTTTTAGTTTTTTGGTTGCCTTATCAGAGATATTTTCCTTTTATCTTATTAATTTAATACTATCACATTAAGCTTGAACAGTCTGAGAATTCTTTTTTTTTTTTTTTAAGATTTTATTTATTTATTTGACAGAGACAGCGAGAGACGGAACACAAGCAGTGGGGAGTGGGAGAGGGAGAAGCAGGCTTCCCACTGAGCAGGGAGCCCGATGTGGGGCTCGATCCCTGGACTCTGGGATCATGACCTGAGCCGAAGGCAGACGCTTAATGACTGAGCCACTCAGGCACCCCAGTCTGAGAATTCTTAAGAGCAGTGTCTTTTAACCTTGTGTTGTTTCAAATGGAGAAGAGTTGTGACATAGGTATTTAGAAGGAACTTCCCTCATTAATAACAGAAATGTGGTTTGCTTTTATTGATGATATTTGGAATTAATTTTAAAGTGTTTTTTGTTGTTTGTTTTTTTCTTTACTATAGGCCTAGTGTGACCTCTCTGTATTCTGAGAATAAAATACATAAGAGAGCAATAGCTGGGGTGCCTGGGTGGCTCAGTCGTTAAGCGTCTGCCTTCGGCTCAGGTTATGATCCCAGGGTCCTGGGATCGAGCCCCACATTGGGCTCTCTGCTCAGCGGGAAGCCTGCTTCTCCCTCTCCCACCACCCCCTGCTTGTGTTCCTCTCTCGCTGTCTTTCTCTCTGTCAAATAAATAAATAAAATCTTTAAAAAAAAAAAAAAAAGAGCAATAGCTACTTTTTCTATTGGATTATTGCACTGTAATTTTAAATTCAGCTGTATAATTGAAATGCTTAACTATCAGTAAAAATTAAGAATTTTTCAGAAAAAATCAAATATACTAGCATATTTTCTTCTGTAAAAAATATGTCAATATTAAGACATATACTTGGGAATTGTCCTTCTTTATATATAGGAATAGCAATAATTATAATAATAATTAGAGAAAATACTGTGTAGCGTTCACCATGTGCAAGCACTGGTCTAAGTGTTTTACAGATATTTGCTCAGCTAATCCTCCTAGTTTGATCCTAAGAAATAGATGCAGTTGTTACCTTTATTTTATTATTTTATTTATTTCCCTCATTTTAAAGATGAGGAAACTGAGGCAGAGAGGTCATGTCACTTGCCCAAGGAAGTGTGGCAGGGCCAGAATCCAAATGCAGGCAAGGTGGTTCTGGAGGCTTTGCTTTTACGACTATATAATACTTCTTTAGCAATGAAACAATTTTTTGTAGATTATAGCAAGTTATACTAAACAGTCCTTTTATTCCATCATCACACTTAGTTTCTCCTTCCTTCTCCTTTAATTTGTTTTTGTATAATTACATATATATCTCTTTTCTGGTAGAATTTTGGAACATTTTATTTTAATGCAAAAACATTAATTTTTGAAAACAGGATTATCATTTAGAAACTGCCATTTATAATAAATTTTATTCTATTTAGACTTACAGAGAATCACATATAGTTCATTTTCCAAATCTGTATTGATTGCCTAAACATTAAATGTATAGCAAATGAAAATTCAATAGAATTTTATTAAGTATTCCTATTAAAATATCACATATTTTGGATAAATTCAAAGGATGGGGACAGTGAAATTTTGTGATTTTTCCTGATCTAGAAAAATTAATGTTTTCTATTGAAAATGTCACTATGAGATAGAGTAGGCTCTTTTAAAGGGCTTGGAATCTTAAGACAGAGGAAAAAGGGAAATTTTGTAGTCAAATTCTTCTTTTTTTTTTTAAAGATTTTATTTTATTTTATTTTATTTTTTTAAGATTTTATTTATTTTTTGACAGAGAGACAGCGAGAGAGGGAACACAAGCAGGGGGAGTGGGAGAGGGAGAAGCAGGCTTCCCTGCGAGCAGGGAGCCTGATGCAGGGCTTGATCCCAGGACCCTGGGATCATGACCTGAGCCGAAGGCAGACACCTAACGACTGAGCCACCCAGGCGCCCCTAAAGATTTTATTTTTATTTTTAATTTTTTAGAAAAGATTTATTTATTTATTTGAGAGAGAAAGAGTGAGCAAGCATGAGAGGGGGGAGGGTTAGAGGGAGAAGAAGACTCCCTGCTGAGCAGGGAGCCCGATGTGGGACTCAATCTGGGACTCTAGGATCATGACCTGAGCTGAAGGCAGCTGCTCAACCAACTGAGCCACCCAGGCGCCCAAGATTTTATTTTTAAGGACTCTCTACATCCAGTGTGGGGCTTGAACTCACAACCCTGAGATCAAGAGTTGCATGTTCCCTTGACTGAGCCAGCGAGCACCTCATACTATCAAAATTATTCTTAAATACCTTCATTTACTCCCTTGAAAGAGTATGCATTCTCTCTTTATACATATGTATGTATGATTTGTAATGTATATAGTAACTGACAGTAATTTATATAGCATGATAAAATGTGTGCAAAATGGGTTTTTTTGTTTTGTTTTTTTTGTTTTTGTCAGAGAGTGCACGCGCACACAAGCAGGGGGAGCGGCAGGCAGAGGGAGAAGCAGGCTCCCCACTAAGCAAGGTCCCAGTCCGGGACTCAGTCCCAGGACCCTGGGATCATGACCCGAGCTGAAGGCAGACACTTAACCAACTGAGCCACCCAGGCGTCCCCAAAATGTAGTTTAACATGGGTTTGACTGCTACATAATAATACTCATAGTAGAGTCACAGTTACTCTAGGATAGTGTGAAGAATTGAATTCACATAAATTTAATGTGCCAGGGACCTAACACAGGAAGAGACAGAACTACTCCTCTAAGGAAACATTTCTGGGGTGCTGTCATCAAGGGAGAATAAAGATGAGATGAGGAGAATGCATTCACAGCTGTCTCTTTATTTCATTCAAAGCCATTCTCCTTTGATGTTGCTGCCATTAATATTTTGAGAAAGAGAAAAGGGATCTCACTAATTCGTTTAGCACTCATGGGTATCTTTGTACTGCTCTCATTTATGCTGTTCGTGCCTCTCTCCTTCTGCTTCTGTAGTTATGTGAAGAACTATTCGAGAAAATCAATGACAACTGTAATGAAGAAATGTCTTACTCTGTAGAGGTGAGTACAACCGTGGATTAAAGCCATAGGCCTCTGGACTCCATTCCCTCCAGTGTTACTTTTCAGTGGTACCAAATGATGACAGTAGATCACTTAACCACTCCCCCAGTTTTGTATTCTTAGGCTATTTCTAAGTTTTGGTCATCATCAGTAATGTTGCAGTTAAGTCAGAAGCTTGTTCATAAGCTTTATTTTTAGTTACTTCCTTTATGTATCAGGTTATCAAACAATACATGTGAATTGCCAAATGGCTTTTTAGAAAGAAACACTTTACCAATTTTCAGTCCCATCAGGAGGAGGGTGTAAGCACCCATTGTGTCCTTGCCAACTTTTAATATTTTTGTTCTTTCTCTGCCAGCTTGATAAGGGCACTCTTTTTCACTTATTTAAATTAGTTTTTTTGATAATTAGTGTAATTGAACATCTTGTAAATTATGCATATGCCTGTTTACATTTTGGGATTGCCGTGTTTATCTTAATCATTTGTGTGAACTCTTTCCCCCTTTCATATTTATTAATAGTGATTTTTGACATGGTTTTTAAAATCTATATAATCAGATCTCTTCTCCTCTTCCTCCTTTATAATTGCTTATAATCTTAGACAGTTATTCTTCATCTAGTGTATACTCCAGCTCTTTGAAGAGGAGGTCTATAGAATTACATTATATACATTAATATAGTTGATAAACATTTCTACTCATTGATATGTGCTTTTTGAAGCTGGTATTTCACTTATCTCCAGTTTTGGTACTCAGTTCCATAGAAACTGAAATTACTAAAGTGTTCTGTTAACATGAGCCTGTTGTTCTGAGACATGAAGCTGTTTTTAAGCAAACTTTTTTTTTTATGTATGTGTTGTGATTTTCTGTAGGACTTACACAATTCCTAGTTGACCCACCTAGCTGGTTTGGGTTTTTTCTTTACCTATAAAGTGTTGCATAAATTTTATTAATTTTAGAGAATTCTGCCTTGTGACTATGATACACCAGAAGGGGAATGTGAAGCTCTAAATATATTTTTGGTTAAAATTAATTCTCCAAATAACTTCTCATCCTATAACTATTCTTTTTGAAGACTAGATGTATAGCAAATGAAAATTCAGTAGATTTTTTTTTTTAAGATTTTATTTATTTATTTGAGAGAAAGAGAGAAACAGCATGAGAGGGGAAAGGGGAGAGGGTCAGAAAGGAGAAGCAGGCTCCCCGCTGAGCCGGGAGCCCGATGTGGGACTCGATCCCAGGACTCTGGGATCATGACCTGAGCCGAAGGCAGTCGCTTAACCAACTGAGCCACCCAGGCGCCCAAATTCAGTAGATTTTTATTCTTATTAAAATACCACATATTTTAAATAAATTCAAAGGATAGCGAGTGACAGAATGTGACAATTTTTTGAGCTTATAGATAATAAAAGAAGATGCCATTTCCTTTCATATCGAAGTTCATAGGCTTGCTTGGAGTGCAGTGTAGATCCCTAGTTGATACTGTGGTTCCTTACATTTGTGGGACCTCTACCTCCTCTTCTGCTTCCCTCTCTTTGCTCCGGCCACACTGGCTTTTTGCTGTTTCTGGAACAATAGGAACTTTCCTACTTCAGGGCCTTTACATTTACTTTTTTTTCTGCCTGAAATTTTCTTCCTTTGGATATCTTTTTGTCTAAGTGTTTCAACTCCTTCAAGTCATTTGCTCAAGTCTTACCCCCTCAACGAAGTGTACTTTGACCACCTTAATTAACACTGCAACTTGCCCTCCACCCCAGCACTACTGGTCTCTCTTGTCCTGTTCCTTTTGCCTCCATAGTAATCATCATGTTCTAACCTACTTTATAATTCTGTTTATTTATGTATGTGTTGTTTATTTTTATTATAATTAATAAAATATATAATTTTATTATATATTATATATAATTTTATTATATATTATATATATTATATAATTTTATTATATATTTTATGTGCCTAGAAAGTGCCTGGAAGATAATGCTGCTCAGTGAATTGAATTTTCCAAGTGGGGTCTGTAGTGGTTGGCTCAGAAGTAAAAGAACTAGTGCTGGCTTGAGGTGGGTTTGCATGGTAGAGAGTAAGTAGCAGAGCACAGCAGCCTTTACCTCATTTACTTGGGTTCCCATGCTTCCCACACCTCGGTGAAAAGAGGTAAGTCTTCCAAGAAGATATAGTATCTTTCTGGGATTCTGGAGTTTATGTCCAAGTTTAAGTACTACACAAGAATGAGTAAAGTACCATTTCGCTTTGTAGGAAGACCTGCTTTAAGAAGGAATACTTGTCCTGTTGTTTTAATCTCATAGGGGATCAGTTACTTCAAGGGTTCTCAATATTTAAAAAACTGATTTTAAAATACAGTATAAATATACAGTCAGATCTGAGACCGAGTGAAAGAAAAAAGCAATAGAAATGGAGATTCTGTTGTTTCAGACACTCGGAAATGTGTCTATAGAAATTTAAAGTTGACAAGTGCTGAAATTTTATTGTGTGCTCGAGTAGCTCAGGATACACAAGGGAAGACCATAATGAGGCTTCCTATGGTGAATTTCCCCTAGTCCAGAGCCTTATTTGCTTAGAAGTGTGATCTTATAGGTAAATCAGGACCAGAAGCATCCTTCAAAGCCAGACTCTTTAGTGAAGCTCATTTGACTTATGTTATGAAACCACTAGTTTTATTTGTTACTTTCCCTTGAGGAAAACTCTTCCCTAGACCAGAACACTCAATATTAGCAAGCCTGGTGTATTATCTTTTTATCTTCCTGTGGACAGACTTCTGTTGGAACCCTGTTGGTTTTTTTAGGGAGCATGGAATTAGAGAGGGAGGAGTTTGACTAGACAATTGAGATGCTTGCTTGGCTCAGGTAAAGAAAGGATAGTCTGAGAACTTACTCTCCACGATAGGAACGGTCCTGCTGGCGGGATGGGAGTTCTGGTAGTGTATTTGCCGAGGCTTCCTCTTCCCTCACAAGTTGTGGATGGGCCCCACCATGCCATCAGGCTCCCTGCTGACTAGTCCTCACTCCTTGTGGTAGATACAGGGTTTGTGTGTGGTCAGTCTTACAGTGCTGGGGTTGCTGGGCTTTGTTGTCTTCCCTGCTCTGGAATATCAATAGTGTTGCTTGGTTTTAACACTAATAGAATTTTTATTTCCAAGCTTTTGGAGTAACCTCACTGTAATCCTTAATTATTGACAACAGCATACATTTTTAAAAGTGTATTGGTAACTGGTAAGTTGCTACTAAAAATGGTATTTTTTCTGACTTAGACAAGTAGCGGCTACTGATTGCGGAGGTAGCCTTCTTACCTCCTTTTCTTTCCTGAGACCGTCAGAAGGCTGATTCTAAGCTGGTCAGTGATGTCTGTGCAACTGTTAATAGAATAAAATGGACTAGACCTATGGCATTTCCCTTTATAAAGATTGCTGATCTTGGGCGCCTGGGTGCTCAGATGGTTCAGCATCTGCCTTCAGCTCAGGTCGTGATCCCAGGGTCCTGGGATCAAGTCTCTCATTGGGCTCCCTACTCAACGGGGAGCCTGCTTCTCCCTCTCCTTCTGCTCCCCTGCTTGTGCTCTCTCACTCTCTCTGTCAAATAAATAAAATCTTAAAAAAGAAAAAGATTGCTCATCTCTCATTGTAGAGCTTTTTTTTAAAAGTAATCTCTGCGCCCAGTGTGGGTCTTGAACTCATGACCCCAAGATCAAGAGTTGTGTGCTGTACTGACTGAGCCAGCCAGGCACCCCTAATTGTAGAGCTTTTTTTTTTTTTTTTAAAGATTTTATTTATTTATTTGACAGAGAGAGAGAGAGAACACAAGCAGGGGGAGCCGCAGAGGGAAAAGCCGGCTCCCCACTGAGCAAGGAGCCCAGTGCTGAACTCGATCCCAGGACCCTGAGACCATGACTTGAGCCGAAGATGGTTCACCAATTGAGCCATCCAGGCACCCCAATTGTAGAGCTTTTAATAAAAGTTGTTAAAAAATGTTTTTAATGTATAGTATTTTTTTTTCCAAGTCCTCCAGTTCACTTTAATAATTTGTTCCTAGGTGAGCTACATGGAAATTTACTGTGAACGAGTACGAGACCTGCTGAATCCAAAAAACAAGGGTCATTTGCGTGTGCGTGAACACCCACTTCTTGGCCCATATGTGGAGGATCTGTCCAAGCTGGCAGTCACTTCCTACACAGACATTGCTGACCTCATGGATGCTGGGAACAAAGCCAGGTATGGTAGAAATAGACTAGTGACTGAAGGCTTTGGCACATTTTCAGGTCCTTTATTCCCGGTTAAGGATTTGAGACCACCTTTATACTTTTGAAAGTTGCTTTAATTGTAGATCCTCTGATCCTTTGGCTGTGCTGGGGTAAAAAGTAAGGGCTTCCGCATAGTCAGCATCTTCTCATCAAAACAATGTGGTGCTGAAACATGTCAGAACTTTGGTTAAGTTTTAATATCAGGTTTTGATTAAGTCATGGTAAAATGTTGGATAATCACATGCCTATGGAAGTAATTGATTGCAAAATAAAGAATACAAATTAAATGCGTCGGTGGTTTCTAAAGGGACAACTGAGGTTTGAAAAATGATTCTGATGGGGGACCTTTGGAGTTGGGGATAACTTGATAGGCTCACAAATAAGGTGCATTGAGAACAATTTATGTAAGTGACAATCTCATGATCTATGAATAAAGTTGTTGCTTGTGATTGTTACAGTTAACCTGGAGCCTGCTGTCCATTTTAACTTTCATCTAAGAATTCCATTGTCACATGTCACCTTTATGTTTATTTAGGACGGTGGCAGCTACCAACATGAATGAAACAAGTAGCCGTTCCCATGCTGTGTTTACCATTGTTTTCACCCAGAAGAAACATGATACTGAGACCAACCTTTCCACTGAGAAGGTAGGATAACTTCAGTGTCTGGGCTTGAGTTGTATAGAATGGGGATTTTCAGAAGTCTCTCTTGCTACCCTCTGCATCTTATGGAGGGGAGAAAGTTGCCCTTTAACTTAACGGAGAATATTTTGTATCTTTTGCTTGTCATTTTTATTCCCACTCTAAACCAATTTTGAGCATGGGATTTTGAGTGAAATTGCAAGATAGAAAATAGAGTTAAAAAACAAAGACATTGGGTCTCAAAAATTACTCTGTGCAAGAGAGTTAAGCAGTTCTTTGGGGAGAAAATCCTTCCTTTTTTTTCTTCTTAACTAGAACCTCTTAATTACTTGCTTGGTATATAGCTTTTTTTGTTTTGAGCCCTGATAATGTTACTGTGGGATTAAATATTTAAGCAAACAATTAAGCAGACAAGGTGTGTTTTTCCTCTGAAAGTAAAGGACTGCAGAGCAGTCCTGATGCTCTTTGAATACCTTGCTTGTTAATGTCTCCTTTTCTACAGTAGGTAAATATAGTAGACTTTGGAGTTAAACTGCTTGCTTTAGATCCTGTCTCTACCACTTTGTAGCACTGTTACCTTGGCAAGTTACTTAACCTCTTTCTGCCTCAGTTTCCTCAACCTCATAGGATTGTTAAGATGATTAAATATTGATACAGGTTAGTGCATATAATAGTGCCTGGCTCAGAGTAACCATTCAATAAATGTGAATTTTAGCGTTGTTACTGTTAGTAATAAATTTATGTTGAATTCTTCTCTGCCCACATACCTAAGTAGCATGCAGCTGGAGTTTTAAACCTGAAGTTAGATTTATTATACTGGCAGTGATAAAAGATCCTTTGCCTTATAAACTGAGTACTTTGTGATACTGACATCACTAAAAACTAGGATCACCTTTTACTTGGTGACTTGTTTTTAGCTGAAAATTATTTTACTTATTTTTAAAATTTTTTATTTAAATTCAATTTAGTTAACATATATCATATTACTAGTTTCAGAGGTAGTGTTCAGTGTTTTCATCAGTTGCATGTAACACCCAGGGCTCACTACATCAAGTGCCCTCCTTAATGCCCATCACCCAGTTACCCGATTCCCCCCACCCACCTCCCCTCCAGCAACCCTCAGTTTGTTTCCTAGAGTTAAGAGTCTCTTATGGGGGGCGCCTGGGTGGCTCAGATGTTGAGTGTCTGCCTTTGGCTCAGGCCATGATCCTGGGGTTCTGGGATTGAGCCCCGTGTCGGGCTCCCTGCTCAGCGGAGAGCCTGCTTCTCCCTCTCCCACTCCCCCTGCTTGCGTTCTCTCTCTCACTGTTCCTCTCTCTGTCAAAAAAAAAAAGTCTCTTATGGTTTGTCTTCCTAGCTGAAAATTATTTTAAAAAAACATACCCTTCATATAGGTGATCAGATAACTTGACACTGCTTAGCTAGTTACAGTATTAATGCTATTTAGTACATCTTGTGTGAAAGCATTTTATTCTTCTATGATGTCACATCTACAAAAATAATGATGTTAATCCTATAACCATAGCTTCTTTGATAATCCGTTTTGGATACTTTTGTCTAACTTTCCTGAAGCTTTATTTTTTTTAACAACTTTATTGATTTGTTGAAGTACAATAGACCACACATATTTAAGGTATAAAATTGGATTCCTGTGTATGCACCTTTAAAACCAATATCATAGTCCAAGTCATTACCATGTCCATTCCCCTAAAAAGTTGCCTCATGCCGCTTTATAATCTAACTGTATCACTCCTTCCACCCTGGTACTTAGGCAATTCTGATCTGCTTTTTGTCACTGCAGATTAGTTTACACTTTCCAGAATTTTATATGAATGGAATTATAGAGTATGTACTATTTTCTTGCCTTGCTTCTTTCACTTAGCATAATTTTGAAATTTACCTGTGTTGTTTTGTCTATCAGTAGTTCACTTGTTTTCATTGCTGATTAGTAGTCCACTATATAGATATATCACAGTTAGTGCATTAACTCACCTGTTGCTGGTGGGCATTTAAATTGTTTCCAGTTTTTGATCATGAAAATGAAAATGCCGTGAATGGGGCGCCTGGGTGGCTCAGTTGGTTAAGCGACTGCCTTCGGCTCAGGTCATAATCCTGGAGTCCCAGGATTGAGTCCCACATCGGGCTCCCTGCTAAGCAGGGAGTCTGCTTCTCCCTCTGACCCTCCTCCCTCTCATGCTCTCTCTCTATCATTCTCTCTCTCTCTCAATAAATAAAAAAAAATCTTTAAAAAAAAAAAAAAAGAAAATGCCGTGAACATTTGTGTACAAGTCTTTGTGTGGATATTTCCTTTTGTTTCTCTTGGTAAATACCTGGGAGTACAATGGTTGAGTCTTACGGTAAGTATATGTTTAGCTCTGTAGGTCTACAACTCTGCTAAACTGTCTTCCAGAGTGACTGTATCATATTACATTCCCACCAGCAGTGTGTGAGAGTTCCAGTTGCTGGAGGCTTCATATTTAATATGCCATTTAATGGGTTATTGAGTTTTATATTTTTATGACACACCATTATAAAATATGTCATGTGTATCTTAAAATTACTTATTTGAACCAAGAAAATTGCTGTAAACTTTTGTGCATGCAGTGTCTTTTTGTGCCATATGTAAGAGCCCTAACTAATATTTGTAGTCGTCTTCATGCCTGATTTTTAATTTCCTGCCTCTTAATGTCTTCTAGTTCTGCATTGCTTATTTTTGAATTACCCCAATGTTCTTATTCTTGACCAGGTCAGTAAAATCAGCTTGGTGGATCTAGCAGGAAGTGAACGAGCTGATTCAACTGGTGCCAAAGGGACTCGATTAAAGGTATTTATTTTATCAAACAGTTGACCTAGTCAGTAAATGTTCTGTAACATAGGTCAGCAAACTATGGCCAGTAGGTCGAATCTGACCTGTTGTAAATAAAATTTTATTGGGACACAGCCACCTTTGTTTGTGTGCTGTTTACAACAGTAAGTCTGAGAGCTTATGACAGAGACCACATGCCCTGCAAAACCTTTACAGAAACATTTTACTGATGCCTGATCTATAACTTCAATGAAAGATAAGTAACATAATGTAATAGTTAAGGAGGACTTGATGGTCAAGGTGAAAGCTGAAAGGTGTTTTGAGGAACAGGCTGGATGGAAGCAACACTGATGATACAAGATCCAAATGTGAGAACACACACAGCCCTCTCCAGAGGGATGCTTATTTAACAAGAGCAGAAATTGCATGTTGTGAGTTGGGGGAAGAAGGCTGCGTCCATAAGCTTTTGGGGAAAGCCATCTGCCAGTACTCAGGACTGTGGGTTAGGTGTGTGGTCCTGGCATGGCATTATGTGAACAGGGGAGAGACTGAGGACTAAGAGAGGTTTTTAGAACTTGTGGTCATAAGTAAACAAAGAGTGCTAATACAAGGCTTAATTGTATCCTATGCATTATAGATGATGTGGCAGTAGAAGAAATTCTTCATCATAATTCTTTCATGTTTGTATTGATTTCAGGAAGGAGCAAATATTAATAAATCTCTCACAACTCTGGGCAAAGTTATTTCAGCCTTGGCAGAGGTGGTAAGTATTATATACTTGGTTACATGGGAAAACTTGTCTGTTCAGCAAATGTACTTGATGATATTTTATGTGTTTATGAAGACCGACCTTTTTTGGCCCTTTTCTGTAATCTTTTCTCCTTTAAGAGCTTTTCAGATAAGATCCTAGGTATAACACACTTTGACTTTCTACTGAACGTAAAAGAGATTAAGGCGAGTGAAAGTAAACATAGATCTATAAAGGCTAGACTGAAAACTAGCTCTTTACAAAGACCTAGGGTTTGCTTCCTTGTTTAGCCTTACTTCAGATTTCTCATCAAAACCAAGGGTTTTGTAACATATTTCTCATCAAAACCAAGGGTTTTGTTGCATATTCTTTTCCTATACAATCTTTTTTAAGTAGGATGCAGTACCTTTTGGAGTTTTTTAAGCATTTGCCTTGGTGAATGCTGTTGATTTGGGGGGCCAATAACATACTTTTTAAAATTGTGTTATTCTTTTCCTATTCTTTAACAGTGGGACACAAATCTGAAACACTTTTGTATCAGGGGCTTCATTTTTTAGGTTAAAGGCTAAGGAAGTACTAGTCATTGTGCATTCTAGTTTAGTATGTCATTTGAATCCCTAAAAAGAATCAAATGCTTTCTTGCTTGTTTCTGAAAAATCATACTCAATTTATTACTTTAAAGTACTTTCTGTTTGAAGGCTTACCCTGTGTTCTCATTCTTTCTTTTAAATGCTTCATCTATAGGATAACTGCACCAGCAAGGTACGGTGGGGTTTGTTAGACATTGAACTAGCTGTAGAATCAATTGTGATGATTGTAAATCCTCAGCAGGATGTATGGAGGCATAAGTAGGAATGGAACCTTGAAAAATAACTTCTTGTTACTTGCTTTCTGGCTCTGGAATTTAGAATTGCTGTTTAGAGTGACCATGAATCATGAGACTGCACACAAACCTAATTTAGGGAATATGATGTGTTTTGGAGAAGGAATTCAGAATAAAGGCACAAGAGAGAAACTGAGGAAGCTTCTATATTGTGTTATCTTAACGATGTTTCTCCTAGTGATCTGTAGGACTGTCACTTGAAGAAGTCACCTATAAACCTCTTAAAAGGGCAATAAAGATACTTCTTATGGGTACTATTCTAAAATATAGCTGCCTTCTTGAAATTATTAGGATATTTTTCTTAAACCTCTGTATAATCTTGTTTCCTATCATGAAAAGTCATGGATTATTTAAATTGTTAAAAAAATTTTTTTTTCTCTCTTTGGTTATACATAAAGTGAAGGCTGTAGAATCAAGTTAAAGTCTGTATCTAGAGCACATGCTCTTTGCATCCTTGTAATCCAAATATGATAGACTTTTCCTTATATTTCCTTACAAGTACTCTAAAATTTCTTAGTACTATTTTGCATTTATAATAGAGCACTCAACAATTCTGAATCACATGAGTAACATTGGAGATAAAGGCAATATCTGCAATGAAATATTTTATTTTTTTAAAAGATTTTATTTATTTGAGAGAGAGAGAGACAGCGTGAGCAGAGGCAGAGGGTAAGCAGACTCCTTGTTGAGCAGGGAGCCTGTTGTGGGGCTTGGTCCCAGGACCTGGAGATCATACCCTGAGCCAAAGGCAGACGCTTAACCGACTGAACCACCCAGGTGCCCCTGCAAGATGAAATATTTTATACTCGGATTTTAAAATATATAGGTTTGTTCTCTACCTGTGCAAAAGTTACTTAATAAAAAGTAATACTGGGGCGCCTGGGTGGCTCAGTCTTAAGCATATGCCTTCAGCTCAGGTCATGATCCCAGGGTCCTGGGGTCGAGCCCTGCATCAGGCTCCCTGCTCCGAGGGAAGCCTGCTTCTCCCTCTCACACTCCCTCTGCTTGTGTTCTCTCTCTTGCCGTGTCTCTCTCTGTCAAATAAATAAAATCTTAAAAAAAAAAAAAGTAATACTTTTTTCCTGTTTCTTTTGGGTTACTGGAAAAAGCTGCCTTAGATTTATTTATTTATTTTTATTTTATTTATTTATTTATTTATTTTTAAAAAAGATTTTATTTATTTATTTGACAGAGAGAGACACAGCTAGCGAGGGAACACAAGCAGGGGGAGTGGGAGAGGGAGAAGCAGGCTCCCCGCTGAGCAGGGAGCCCGATGCGGGGCTCGATCCCAGGATCCTGAGATCACGACCTGAGCCGAAGGCAGACGCTTAACGACTGAGCCACCCAGGCACCCCAAAGCTGCCTTAGATTTAAAGTCTATCTGTTATTTGATATTACACAATAGTGTGGATATTCTTCAGATATCTAATCTGAGTCCCAGAACCATGAAAGCTGTTAAAATTTAGTTGTTTTTCTAACTTGTCCTGTCCATTTGCTCATTTTTTTTAACATTCTTTATAAACCAAAGGAAAAGTTTACATTTATCTGCGTATTTCCCATATTGCTCTGTGCCACAATAATTTGCAAATGACTTTTTTAGAATTAGTTTTGGAAAATCCAGTTTAGAACTTTGCATCTATGCCATAACTATAACGGATCAAAGACAAATTTTAGTTTTTATGTAATAAGCATAATTTTTGGTGAATTAAAATGTACCGTTATTCCCACTGGGGAGAGAAACAGGATTATTATTGTTCATACTTGATAGCATTTCTTTTTAGAGAGGCTAGTGATGTAAGTAAGTAAACCTGTTTGGGTAATTACTGAGACCCTTATTTGTGAGAATAGATGAGATTAATTTGTGTAAGAGAGCAAATAGAAAAGAAGTGGCTAAAATTCTGAGATATTTTCATATGGAAAATATGGAAGTTCTCTTCATGCTTCTTTATTTAGCTACTCCTTCTTAATTTAGTCTAATTGACTAAAATGAAAATAGAACATCTTTTGGCAAAGAGAAACTGCTTATTTTTATAGTACTGTTTGCAATCTTTGTAAGTGACGTACTTTAGATCTTGCAGCATTTTCAGTACTAACTGTAGGCAAAGTGGAGTGTTTAGGTATAGTGAGGGGCTAGAGAAGGAAGAATTGAGGTCTCAGGACTCAAGAATTTTGCAGTGGACTGATAGTCCCACTAAGCTGTGATTGACTGAGAGGGTTAATTCTCCCCACAGGTCTTTGTCATTTGGAAATAGATCCTGCTATGGGAAATGACTTTCTCATTGGTGGAAAGTGTGTCTGTGGGTGGGATAGGATGAATTGGAGGGAATGTTTTTGATAAGAGATGGAATTAAATTGCTACTTGCCTACTTCCTTTCCTCCTCTACAGACCAGAGGTCAGCTACTTAGTACTCTTTTTCTGAATACCCATATTTTCGCAAGAACTAGATTGTCCTTAGTTTAACCTCAGATTGTACCAGGACCGGGGAGAGATGTTTATCAGTGAACGCTGGCTTCCCCTTAGTGGCTTCTTAAATTAGCATGACCTAGTCATCAGCCAGGACATACTGCAGTAGCTGTTACCTGCAAAGGGTTTGCATTAATTTTTACTTTCAAAGGATGTAATTTCCTCCATTTTAGTACTGGCTTTGTATTGGTGCCTTTTGCTGTATCCTGTGATAATGAGGAGGGTCATAGCTAAGTCAATGCTTGATACATATATACAGACGATTCATCTTGCAGTCTTTACAAATCTCCAGATTGGCAAATCACATCACTGTCTTTAGACCTTTTCACTTTGAGTCCTAACTCTGTTGGTTAAATTTATCTGGGGTGTGATTTCTTTCTAAAGAAACCAAATGTGTATTACTTTATAAGAGTTGTTAGAGATGCAACAGTCCACTTAATGATTTGGTGATTGGCCAAGTAAATTCGTTAACTAAATGACTTGGCTTCTGCACATCTAACCTGGAATGCCCAGGATTTATATTTGCCCCTCTGCAAAAGTAAAAAATCATTGTTTGAGACTTAAAGAAAAAAAGAACTCCTTCTCTGTTGGAAATATGTATCTGAAATATTTATTTATAGGTGAAATGTTGGATTTACTTTAAAACACTACTAGCTGTAAAAGATATGATATAGACAGGCTATTAAATCAATAGTATTATATTGATGTTAAATTTCCTGAATTCAGTCATTGAACTGTGACTGTGTAAGAGAATGTCCTTATCTGCTGAAGTATTTAGGGATAAAAGGGCATGGTGTCTGCAATTTATTCCAAAATTGTTCAGGAAGAAAAAATATAAAGTGTTTGAGGGATAATAGAAACATGATTGGCAAAATATTGATAATGGTTGGAGTTGCATGATGGATATACGGTCAGTCATTATGCTGCTCTCTAAACCGTCATGTATGTTGGAAGTTTTTCAAAACAAAATATAAAGAGAAAAAATTACTTTATTGCATGAACTTTGGGTATGGTGAAGAATTGAAGCCGTGAGTGTTAAATTTCAACAGTGATAGGGTTCTACTATAGTTTACTCAGGAATTTTAGACTTGTTTGCCTTTCATGTGAATTTTTCCTCTCTAACAATACTAAGACCATTTCTTTCTGTTTAATAGAGTAAGAAGAAGAAGAAGACTGATTTTATTCCTTACAGGGATTCTGTACTTACTTGGCTCCTTCGAGAAAATCTAGGTACGTTGATCACTGGTGTGTAGTTATCTTTTTAAAGCTGTTTATTGATTATCTTTTGTGGTTAATTGTCTTATATGTTTGTTTTGGAGAAAAATAATCTCCAGATATCCATGTTACTCTTGATTTAAGCTGGTTGGATTTGCTTACTTTTTTTTTTTTTTTAATTATGTTATGCTTACTTTTTAATCAGGGTTTTCTCCCCCATCTTGTTGACCTGGGAACATGGACTGTGGTCTGGTGGTGTGGTTTTCTTACTAACCATACCTGCTTCAAACTATCGCTCCTTCTTCAAACCTCTTTAGAAACTCCATGTTACCTTTTTGCTGATGGTTTTGACCTTCAGGTCATTCTGTTTATTCTCTGTTCTTTTAGCCTCTTTCTCTCCTTCCTGTTAGAAGGGAGTGATCAGCTATGTCAAATGACACTGACAGAAGGAAGAGACTGAGAATGGCCTGCTGGACTGTCCACGTCACTATGACTTTGACTCACTAAGAGCACTTTGGTGGAGTGGCTGAGGCCTTAACTGGAGTGGGGAGAGGAGAACTGGTCACAGTAGATCCAAACACCAAGATTAACATTATAACAGTGCCCGGCATGGGAGCATTCAAGACATTGGTTGACTCTTGATTAAATCTTAGGATCTGAGATGGTGTTAACTAATTTGACATAAATTTAATAAAATTCTTCTTTCTAAAATGAGTATGATTTGCAATAACCATGATTCATCTTCTTAGGTGGCAATTCTCGGACTGCAATGGTTGCTGCTCTGAGCCCAGCAGATATCAACTATGATGAAACTTTGAGCACTCTGAGGTACTCCAATTGCTCCTGATAGCTAAATAGAATACCGTGCCACCATAAGTCATTTTGTTATGCCACTGGTTTTCTTATGCTATATAGGTAATTTTTTATGTAAGTAATGATCCATCCCTCTCATAACAGGGAAACATGGGTTGGGGGGGATTTCTATTTATTTTTTGGGCGGGGGAGATTTTTATTGTAATAGAATTTACCTGTTTATGGTTTTCAATTTCAGTTTGTTACGATATTCATTTCTGTAAAAAGAAGTTCCCTTGTGGTGTTCATCATTATAGAGATGCTCAACTCTTAACAAGTAATACAATTATGGGTACACATAGTGTTAAAAAAATTACAGAATGTTCACTAATAGAATAGAGTCGGCCCTTGAACAACACAGTAGTTAGGGGTGCCAACCCTCTGCACAGTCAAAAATCCACATATAACTTGACTCCCCAAAAACTCAACTACTAACAGCCTACTGTTGACCAGAAGCCTTACTGATAAACAGTTGATTAATGCATATTTTGTATGTTGTACAAATACATATGTATATGCATATAAGTCATGTGTTTCCTTACAATAAAGTGAGTTATAGGAGAGAACATGTTATTAAGAAAATTGTAAGGAAGAGAAAATACATTTACAGTACTGGACTGTGTTTATCGAAAAAAATCTGATTATAAGTGGACCCATGCAGTTCTAACCCATGTTGTTCAAGGGTCAGCTGTATTTCTATATATGAATAGTTTTCATTACTTTAATCTGGAACTTTCTACTCTTCTCCCAGTGATGGAAAGAACCCTATATAGTCTCACAAATGCATTTTGAGTCCTCTTTTTGGTATTTATTTCTTTTATTTTTTTGGGTAAATCACTAAAATTCATCTGAGCCTTTTTCCTCATCTTGATAAGATATTATAAAACTTTCTATGCATATGTTATTAGTAAGGCTCATAAAATGTGTAAATACTCAAGCTGTTTGATTTAGAGTTAGAAATAATGGCATGTTACTTATGAGAAGTAGAGTATCTGAGGAATGGCAAAAATGAATGTTCTGTTTGGATATAGATATGCAGATCGTGCAAAACAAATTAAGTGCAATGCTGTTATCAATGAGGACCCCAATGCCAAACTGGTTCGTGAATTAAAGGAGGAGGTGACACGGCTGAAGGACCTTCTTCGTGCTCAGGGCCTGGGAGATATTATTGATAGTAAGTGAATTAAGGATCAACATAAACTCTAATCTTTTCCTCTTCAGGGTTCTTATATTTAAACTTAGATTCAAAGAACATGATGAAGTTAGATGGTATAAAAGGGGTTTTTTTGTTTTTGTTTTTTCTTTTAAAAAAGTCCAACAAAAATGATCTCAGAATCTTTCTTTATGTAGTCTGTACCAGGCTATCCAGCTGAACTCATGAAATTAGTTTTTAAAAAGTAAATATGTTACCACTTATATTTTTATTAGATTTTCATTTTAGATCAGCAGTGAAGTTTATTTGGAATGTTGAGTTTATTCTCACGGAGAAATTAACCACTTTGTAAAATTGTTCCTTGAAATTTTTGTTTTTGTACTGGGGCTTCTCTGGATTAATGTAGTAGTGGTAATATATGTGTAACAAACCCACCATTCCAGTCCCCTTTCAGATAAGATTTACCTTTGAGTGGTATCTTTCCCCTCCTGCAGAATGATTGAGGGACACTCCCCACCTGGCTCTCTCTGAACACACGAAGGGAAAAATATCCATTTTCTGTCAAATTCAAGAACTAGACTTCCAGAGAATACTATTTTACAGTGTTGTCTTAAAATGAATCTTTTTTTAACCTCTATGATCTGCCTGCATAATGTCTAATCAGAAGTTAACTGGATGATTCAGATAGAATAGTATATGGGTTTATTTGATAAAGTATATTTTTATTTTTTGAGTGAAAAATTAATATTTAAATTCTAATAAGATTTTCAAAGTCTCTTCTAGTTTAGTAGTTCTTCTTACTGATTAACACCTGAGTTTAAATGAATACAGTGTGCAAAATGATAATCTATTCTAAGTGTTAATTTTTTTCATCTTCCCAAATGCTGCTCTGTTCCCTCTCTGTGTCACTGCTGAACCTGAACTTTGACCCTTCTTGTATTTTCCCTCCTGCTTACCTTCAGTTGATCCATTGATCGATGATTACTCTGGAAGTGGAGGCAAATGTGTGTATTTCATGTATTGGTTATTTCCAGTACTCTGATTTGCTAATCTGCCTCTGCTGGATCAGCCTTAAAATGAGCTTTGCATGCCAGCAATCCTAACAGGGAAATCCCAGACAGAGCATACTGTAGATTCAGAAATGATCCTGTTTTTGCCCTTCTCCATGTAGCAAACGCTGCTGAATTTCAGTTTATGGGTTAAGGAGTTTAGAGGCTTAAGAGTCTCTTGCTGCTTCTGCTCTTCAGTTTTTCCACTTACGTGATTAAACCGAATCCAAAGTCCTAGAGGATGATGATAGCAATGACAGCAGCTCACATTTCCTGAGTGTTTATAGTGACCTTGAATGTATTATCTCACTTAATCCTGTCACTGATTCTGGAAAAGATTCTGTTATGCCCATTTTACCCATGAGGACACCCTTGCCTGGGTAGTTAATTTGCTCCAGAGATCCCATGGTTTCTGTGTAGTTCAATTGGATAGTGTAACTCAGAGCCCCAGCTTTTAATATCATTACTATACCTTTGTGGCCTCTTGAGATCCTTCACGTGTCTGATTATTTAATAGAAAACTCATTTTAAATTAGCTATGTAATTCTGAGCCTTGGTGTATGTACAGTTAAAAACAATCACTTTGGTTGGCTAAACTATCCCTGACTGAGTAGCTCTGAGTGTTGGGTTAGCACTCACCTGTGCTTATGCTAAGTTAGTTTCCTCCGTATCTTGGGCCTCAGCTTACATGGTGGTTAGGAAGACTTTTTTTTCCCCTCTCCTTTTCTGGAATTACACATTAGATTTTAAAAACTTGGGTGTCTAAAATGTGTGTTTGAAATGAGACATTTTTATGAAGGATCACACCTCTTTCTCTCCATAGATATCATTAAGTTGGTGAGGACATGATTTCTTACCCTTTTAAGATAATTCATGAGGGGATTTTTATCTTAGAAGAAATGAAGAATCTTGACTTCTTGGTTAAGTTTTAGATTTTAATTGATTTGCTTGTTCATTTAATGAGGCATGTAGTAGGGCTTGAAGGGAGGAAATACATAGGAGAAAGCAAATGTAGCCCTGGCCACTGTGATGAGGCTAGGCCTTGAAGACACAATTACACTCCAATACAGAGTGACTCTTGACTGGAACAGCTCTGTCTGAGATTTCCAAAGCTGACTGATACTGATGTGAGAAAAACACCGTCTTGTTCTTGCTTTTGTGCCCCAGGTGGTGCTATCAGCTTGTTGCCTCACTCTTTTCTGAGAAGTTTGTGGCATCTCCCGAAAAGCTATGCATGACTAAGTTGTAATTTTGTCTCCATGCAGGAAAGCAGCCCTGACTACTTCTGAATTTCCATTTCAGTCTACTACTGTTAATTTCTTTTAGGGCTTGCATGTGTCCATTGGACCTTCTAAGCTCCACCCATCCTCTTCTTTCCTACCTTGCTGCCATCACCTGATGGCTGATTTTTTGCTCCAGTTCCTATCCCCCTTTTAAAACTTGCTTGTTTTCCTATGTTCTATATTTGCAGATGGTGGTTTTCAAACTGTCTTGAAGCAACCACTGGTTTTAAGGGGTTTCAAGAACTGGCTTTGATTAAGTAGAAATGAGTAGACCCAGAGAGAGCAAATAATGTTTTCTGACTCTGCATTGACTTGTATCATTTAAGGAAAACTTAATTCATTTTTGGTATGAATTTTAAACAATGTAGGTTTTCTCACATTTTTAAACATGAGCTAATTTTAAAATAGAAATCCATCAATACCTATGGTTTTCCTCTGGTGTCTGTTCGACAAGGATGACTAATGAAGGAAAGTACAAACAGCAAATTAATGAATTTTGTTGTTTGTGGCTCTTTTTATCAAAACTAAATTTAAAAACAAAACTTACAGTTCTATTAAAGACCTTAATAAGTGAAAGTATGTCCCTGGAACTTGAATTCCATACTAGGAACTCAGCTCACACGTGACTCATGGAGTACTGTTAGGCAGAGTAAGAGCCTCACTTTGCAATAATAAGCAAATAATCAGCCTTGATTTTTGCTTGCGCTAATAGATGAGTGTAAACTCTAACAACTTCATTAATTTGCTAATTGTTCTTCCCTGTTGAGGTAATTGGCCCTGAGTTCTCAACCAGAACTTACACAAAATTCCTGTGATTTCTACATTCACGTCTCCTTTTTTAAAAAAAGGCATATGTTAGAGATGCTTTTTAGCCTGTTGAAATGTTGCCGTACAAAGGACACTACAGATTTTTGTTTTAACTATAGTATCTTCTTGGGAATTTTTGCTGAATGCCATAAAATACTGGGCCAGTTTGATATTACTGATAAATAAATGTTCATCTTTTTTCCTATACCATTACAAACTACTGGGATTTAAGAGTAGTAGAAATCTAAAACATTGTAGATTTGGAGCTCTAGAAGGAATAGAAGGAATGTAGCATGTCTTGTTTACGGAGAGTGCCTGAGCATTATCCTTTGAGGCTCTGGTTACCCCCTATCAAATACAATGTTAACCCACCCTGGAATTTTTTAGTTCCTAAATTTTTTAGTTTCAGAAGTGGTTCTTAACCTCCAGGATACCAGTATTAAAGACAGACATGTTTTAGAACTGCCATCTAGAACAATTGTAACTTGTCTTTGTATTATAGTGTGTCTTTGTCTGGGTGCTTTAATGCTATCCTTTCTTATGCTGGTGTTCCTTCCTGTCTTTTTTCTCCCTCTGCTCCTTTCCCTCTTTTCCATTTTTTCTGCCTTCCCTTCTTTCTGTCTCCCAGATCTGAAAGATTTTCAGAACAATAAGCATAGGTACTTGCTAGCCTCTGAGAATCAACGCCCTGGCAATTTTTCCACAGCATCCATGGGGTCCCTTACTTCATCTCCATCTTCCTGCTCACTCAATAGTCAGGTGGGCTTAACATCTGTGACCAGTATTCAGGAGAGGATCATGTCTACACCTGGAGGAGAGGAAGCCATTGAACGTCTAAAGGTAAGTAATAATTCAGACTGAATGAAAGGTGTTCTATGTAGCTCCACAAAGCATAGTTGGTCTTAAAAATCACTGAGATTTTTGTTAAGGATACGGAAGAACTTTCTAACTCTTAGAGGTGTCCTGAAAATGGAATGTGCTGCTTTATAAGATAATTTCTTTTTACCAGAATGCTTGAGTCTCACGTGGCCAGGCAGAGATTAGAGAGATGCATGGCCAGATCATAGGTTGGCCATGAAAATAACTGATAAATAGATAATGTCCTTTAATTCCCAGGTAGTTTATAAGTCACAGGGACATTGTTTAGTTAGAAATTTATTTGGAAACTAATTTGTTAGAACATTTGGATTCATTTGAAGATGGAATTCTGTATGGAGCCATGTTTGTGTTAGTAAAATCAATAGCCAAAAGAAGGCTTGAGCATGTGAGTGGCTTTACCAGGTTTATTCAGAGACATGTGAAATGATAACTTGTGGAAGCTCATAGGAAGTCTTGGAACTCTGTTATAACTGCCATGGGAGGGCTGCCTCCTCCTGTGCTGGTGCCCATGAGATCAGGGGCCTCAGTGCCATGTTGTGCGCTTGCATCCTGCATGTGCGGGTCCACCTGCCATGGCACCCAGCTTCACTTTCCCAGTCTGTGGTTGGCTCTGTTGGGGATGTTCTTGTCTTCTTCATGAATATGAAAGTACGCGGTAGCAGCACCTGCTGATTCCTGGCTTCTTCCTTCCCCTCAGTGACTGCAGTGAGAACAGACCATGTCATCCATCAAATCACTGTGACAGTATCACAGATGCTTTTTCTTTCCTTGCTCATTGCCTCCAGGGTGATCGTTTGATCCATGCTTTTGGGACTTTGTATTCCCAAGGGCCAGGGCAGGGAAAACAAGGAGGGCAGAGAAAACGTTTTCCGGAGCTGGGAAGTTGCAGTTGTATTGGCAGGCCTCTTTGTGTTGCACTCAGTGCTTTCCACAACTGCCGCTCCCTCGAGCACTGTTGAGAACAGTAACACACTTGGGCAAATGAACGATGGAAAAGGTTTGTTGAGCCTTTTCACCGCTAAAAGGGAATGAAGCTTGATAATTGAAGATGGCAGAAGGTTTCATTTCAGTTTTCAGGTGAGGCCAAGAAAGATTTTATATGAAGACTGGGCCTCTGCTTCTTAGTCAGCCTACCTTTTTCCTTGGCATCTTTTACTTACTTCTAACCTAAGGTGCTTCAGAAACAAAAGTAATGATCTTGTTTCTTCCTTCAGAGCATGTTTGTAGGAAGTGGGTAAAGTTCTGAAATACCTAGCAAAGGGAGAAGGGTGAGAAATCTTTTCATTTCATTAATTGTTGCAAATTGAAGGGTAATTCCTGCTTTTGTGAAATTGCCTTTGAAATTGTAATAAAGACATTAGTGAAGCCTGTGCAGGACAGCTTTATGTGTGTGTTTTTTTTTTTACGATGGGCATTGGTGACAAAGTTGCTGTGCAGGATTCTGTTTGGGCCAGTGGGGGAAATGCAGGGGTTCCGTGGGAAAGAAGTGAAATCTCCTACTTACTATTTAATATAAGATGTTCTTTTTCTTTGGGGATTTTGAATCTTACTTATATCGCCTATTAAAGCCTTGGTGTACAAATAAGATTATAATTTCCGTTAACTTAAGTCTTGATGTAAAAGAAAACAATTTTCCTAACTGCCGAATGGGACCAATTGAAAATAACGTTGAATGTTAGGAGTCAAGACATTAACCAGACTCTTCAAGAATTAGGTCACCCAATGTCTTCCACATAGTTTCTGGGGAATAACACTGCCATTATTCAGGGAACCCTCCCCCCAACCTTCCTACTTCCCACCAAAACAAAACTGTATTACTTTCATCAGAAAATGAGTTTCTCTGTTTTAATTTTCCTTTAAGTCAGCATAAGTGAAATCTTCCATTTTCCCTACCTTTAGAAAATTGCTTCTTGATGGTTTTGCATTGGATCTTGAGTTTTTAATGCAGCATGGCAGTCCACTGAGGCATAAATGTCTTTGTTCTGCTCCTGTTTTGTGAATGGTGAGAATTCAGTCCAGCAGACCTGCATTGTAATGCCTCAGGCAGATAGCATCTTGCATGCACAGTGCAAGGCAGTGGTTATACAACAGAAATGCTTGAGAATTCTTCATTTTTGGACTACTTCATTGTTGAGTGTTTAGGAGCTGCGTTCCTAAGACATGATACTGCAGGAGAAAAATACTGTAATGGAAAACAGGAATAGAGGTTAATTCACTTCCCTAACATGTTATTTCCCTTTGCTTCTCTTTATTTTTGAATTTAAAAATATGATCAGTTTGTAAAATACTTTTGTATAACGTGTTGCTACTGCTTCGTTTTTTGAATAACTTCTTTCCATATGAAAGAAACCCATGTTACCTCATCATAAATGATCTCGACCCCTCCACAAACCTCTCTGGCAAAAGAGTGAAATGTAATTGTTTTCATTTTTTAATCACAACTCAAACTGAGTTGAGATGTATGTATCCTTGATTTGGATTCTCATTCAGTAAGGTTTTAAATATGTAACTATAGCTACTGTGTGGTGGCTCTGGGGTTTGTTTATTAGTCTGGCATCAAAGTTAGTACTATGAGTGCCATCGCCTAGGCTTGGACTATAAATATCCACAAGTATCCATTACAGAAGCATGCAAGGGCAGGTGGTGTGCTAGGCGGCCCAAGGACCCCACACTTGGAACACACTTACGGAGCATACTATGTTCAGTACAGTAAAACCTTGGCTATCTGATGGCTTCAAGGAATGTTCCATGTAGTAAGCATTTAATCTTTTAAATATCACAGTTGAAACTGTAATTTTTTTTCATGGAAATATTTCTGACTTATTCTGCGGATTTCTCTGCCACCTTAACTGAATCATGACAAAGAAATTGTGTTTAGCTGTGTGAACATAATTATTAACAAGTGCTGCATAGATAGCTAGACATTCGTGATGTGAGACCAAAGTTGAATGGCGCCTGAGCCCAACATTTCTTGGAGCTTTAAAAATAGGTTCCTGATGTCACTGTTGTTTTTGGAATTTTTTTGTGTGTACTACCTGTGGGAAGGAAAGACCCTTAAAGATTGTCTGGACTCCTCATTTCTGAAGCATGCATCCCAATTTCAATTTAATTTTATAAGTTGGGTTTCTAGAGTGGGTAATGGGCAGCACTGGGCACCAGTGTGCCAGGCCTGCCTGCAGGGTAAGTTGATAACTCAGAGGTCAAAAGTTATCTCCTGTTGGCATCTCAGTTTTATTTATGCTAAGTTTGCTATTCGGGCTTCAAGAAATAATATCCTTCATGCTTTCTTAATTGATGGTGAGCTGTTTTGTAGAATATTTTCTTTAAAGCCTAGTGATTCTACCTTAATTGAAGAAAGAGCATCAAGAGTCCGGAAACCCCACTCTAGGGTTTAGTGGCTCAGGATGTAGTGTGGCCTCAGGATAGTCTCTTAGCTTCTCTGGTCCCCAGTTTCTTTATCTCTAGAATGGTTCTGGAATAAATGGCTTTTTCTAGCACTGAACTTTTGCTTAATATCATTTTCTTTAACCTTTCTTCAGAGTTTTAAAAAGATTTTATATATTTATTTGAGGGAGAGAGAGCCAGAGCAGGGGGAGGAGCAGAGGGAGAAGGAGAAGCAGACTCCTCACTGAGCAGGGACTCCTGATTTGGGCTCTATCCCAGAACCTGGGGATCATGACCTGAGCTGAAGGCAGATGCTTAACTGGCTGGGCCACCCGGACGCCCCTAAAAAATAGCTTTTTAGACAACATAAAAATTGCAAAGTGAAGCTGTAATGAAAAATAAAAGAATACCATATTCAGCTAACTCATTAAATCTTTTTTTTACAAAGAGATCATGTCCTGATTTACCCTCCAGGTGGGAAGTAAAATTAGAGAGTTCACATTAGAATTGGCAGCAGAATGACAACAGGATCCCTAGACAGTGATTTTGCTACCTTGGGTGAATTTACAGTTGCCCCAAAATAGAATAGCTTTCATACAGCCAGATAAATCTCTTATCAGACACGATCTTTTCCTGAAAATAACAACCAGGAAAAAAAAGAATTTAAGTTCCTCATGGGTCAGTTTGTATTCCATCACCAACATCAGGGCTTGTGTGCCACACTCTGTATAATAAGCACTAGTCTACACGCTCTGTTTGAGCAGCCTATTGTCGTAGTCCTTTCTTTCAAAGTTACCATTTTGAGATTGTGAAGATTTCTACCCAGCTGTCTTTAATAAGCCTTACTATCATGTAGGGTATGGTGCCAACTTGTCTTGTATTTGCCCTCTCACGGTCCTATGTAAAAGCATTTAGTACTACTCTGTTAGAGTTGTTTGAATAACTTCCGTGGTGCTTACGGACCACTTGGTTCCTGGCCATCTCCCTCCTTGCTGAAATTGTATGGGTGTTTTTGGTTGCTGGCCCTCTAGCGTGGCACATTGTTTCCTGTCTCAGCTTGGGAGGGGTACGTGCACTGCAGGCTAAATCTGTTCTCTTGGAGGCCACTGGAGAGATGCTGTTCAGGTAGCTGTTTGAGTCTTTCAGCCCCTGGGTGTTGGGAGAATTAATGAGAGCAATTTAGGTGGTTCTGTCTTTCCTCCCCACCTTCCCCACTCCCTCTGTTGACTTGTTCTGGCATCTACCCCTTTGTGACTGACCCTTTTCTGAATGAGTACCTATTCAGCAGCCCCCTTCATGGGAACCATACTGATGCCCATGCTGTTTCTACCTTTGCTCTCTGCCCTGCTTAGCTAGTTGTTCTTCACTGTCGTCATCATCATGCTCCCCTGTCTGTTTCTCCTGACTCCTGTACTCCTTTGCTTTTGCAGCTGCCGCCTGGAATTCTCTCTCATGGCTTTTAAACACGCTCCCATGCTTCCTTCCGGAAAACCGAATTGCAGACACCTTACGATTGATTGTATTATGTGCTCACTGTTTCTTTCTTTGTAGATAATTATGTTTTCAGATCCCAGAGGCTTCTTACAATGGCCTGTTAAATGAATCAGACAGTGAGCTGTTTTGTAAACTGTGCAGGGTTTTCATCCTGAATCACTAGTGCTGCTGTCATCAGAACTGGCATCTCATCACTGTTATGCTCCTGGCATCATCTTTTGACTTTCTAATTCCGTCTCCATGACCAGATCTTCCTCTGCTTTTTGCATGTGCTTTGTCCCCCCTTTCAGGTTGTCTTCCTCCCTCCATTTTTCACCGAGTTGATTTCCTACTTGTCCTTCATTCATCAGTCTGAGCGTCATTCTTATGCTCACCCATTCTCCAGCGACCTGTGAACACTTCAGTTCTAGCACGTGACCCACAGTGTTCTGTTGTTTTCTCCTGCCCTACCCATTCACAGTCTGCGAGCGCATTGCTCTGGCTACACTGTGGTTCCTGGAAAATGCCAGGCATTTCTTACCTCTTCCCTCACATGTTCATGTGGTAGCTCCTGCTTTGTCTCTGCTCACACAGAACCTTGTCAGCAAGCCCTGTTCTGACAACCCCATTCCAAATTGCTCCCTCATTTACCCCTTTCCCTTTCTTGCTTTTTCGCCAAGACACTTGCCACTATCCCATGTACTATATATTTGAATTATTGATTAAAATTGATTACATTCTTTACTAGAATGTAAGTCTCATGAAATCAGGGATTTTTTCCCTGCCACATCCCTAGTTGCCTGAAACAGGGCTTAACATATAATGTAGTTCTGTATAATTATTGAATGAATGAATCATCAGTTACTTCTGTCTTCCTCGTGTACAGTTACTCCCTGGGAGCAGGAAACATGTTTTAGTTCTTAATTTCTGGCATTCATAAAAACTCAGCAGGAGACTAGGAAACTGTCACTTCAGTGGCTATATGCCTTCGGCTGAGATTAATACTAACCCTTTCTCTATCAGGTATTGGGTTGTGTTCAGAAGGGTGTTATGTTGTAGAGGAATTAAAATATTCATTTACCCTTCAGGTTTTTGGCTGGGGCTTCTGCAAACAAAAGACAGATTAATAAGAGAAAAGCACACAAATTTATTTAATATAAGTTTGTTTTTTTTTAAAGATTTTATTTATTTATTTGTGAGAGAGAATGAGATAGAGCATGAGGGGGGGAGGGTACGAGGGAGAAGCAGACTCCCTGTTGAGCAGGGAGCCCGATGCGGGACTTGATCCTGGGACTCCAGGATCATGACCTGAGCCGAAGGCAGTGGCTTAACCAACTGAGCCACCCAGGCGCCCTAATATAAGTTTTATGTGACACGGGAGCCTTCATAAGGAAATAAAGACCCAAAGAAGTGTTAAAGCATTTTTTTTGCGAGGTTTGATAAAGAGGGAAGAGTTGTGGGAAATTATGATAGGACCTGGGGGAAACTTATCAAGGCCTGTTTGTTCAGATTCCTCTTAGTGTTCTTCCATCTTTGGAGATGAGGATGCGCCTTTCCTCCAGGTGTAGGGAGGCTCCTCTCATGAGGGTCTTAAAACCTGCTTGAGGAGTTTAGAGTCCTTCCTGCAGAAACCATTTCTCAAATTACTTCAGCTTAAAATAGTCAATATGCCAAGATGCCATATTTTAGGGGAACACGTTCTGAGCCCCATCAGGGCTACGGTGAAATTATAGTGAAACAAAAGCAATAAATACCTTTGGTGGCTTTATTCTTTTGTAGAAGTGGTTTTCAGAAATAGAGTCCTGCATTTTGGGATGTTAATGTTACTTCTCTTTCTATACACACACACATACACACTCACTCATTATTAGGCATTTTTATTAGGACTTAGGAGAATTTATATATCTAGGCCTGATTTAATGTTAGACCTAGTCTTCATGAATTTTATTGCACATAATATTAAGAAAGGAAAAAAATCTCATTGTATTAGATTCTGCCTCATACCCACAAAGGGCATTGTGTGCTTCTTGCTGTCCTTCCTAGACATAGTGTGTTACATCATAAGGCTGTTCTTCACTTTAACTGTGGACTTCCTCTTAGGAATCGGAGAAGATCATTGCTGAGCTGAATGAGACCTGGGAAGAGAAGCTGCGTAAAACAGAGGCCATCAGAATGGAGAGGTCAGCAAGTTAAACTCTCGGGGTTGTCTGCACATTCTCAGGGGAACTGGGATTCCTTTTATAGAAGGAGAAGTTAGCTGGAAGTAAAAATGAAGGGCCCCCTTGCCAACCACAGATCAGAACAGAACTCAGCCTGCTCTAGGTCTTCCCCCAGCAGAGCTTATATAGTTAGACCTACTCTAGGGAGTCCTGTGCTCATTACCATATTGCATCGTGTTCAGGGTCCATGTAAAATGGAAGATATTGAGGGATAGAGGGTTTTTTTTTTTTTAACATTTCTTTTTAGGGTGGGGGAGGGGCAGAGGGAGAGAGAGAATCCCAAGCAGGCTCCACACCCAGCATGGAGCCCAATGCGGGGCTCGATCCCATGACCCGGAGACCATGACCTGAGCTGAAATCAAGAGTCAAGAGTTGGATGCTTAACTGACTGAGCCACCCAGGTACCCTGGGATAGAGTTTTTACTTTGTAAAACAACTGCCTTTGATAAATAATATATAATTTAATATGAGCATGAGGGGGGGAGGGTACGAGGGAGAAGCAGACTCCCTGCTGAGCAGGGAGCCCGATGCGGGACTTGATCCTGGGACTCCAGGATCATGACCTGAGCCGAAGGCAGTGGCTTAACCAACTGAGCCACCCAGGCGCCCTAATATAAGTTTTATGTGACACGGGAGCCTTCATAAGGAAATAAAGACCCAAAGAAGTGTTAAAGCATTTTTTTTGCGAGGTTTGATAAAGAGGGAAGAGTTGTGGGAAATTATGATAGGACCTGGGGGAAACTTATCAAGGCCTGTTTGTTCAGATTCCTCTTAGTGTTCTTCCATCTTTGGAGATGAGGATGCGCCTTTCCTCCAGGTGTAGGGAGGCTCCTCTCATGAGGGTCTTAAAACCTGCTTGAGGAGTTTAGAGTCCTTCCTGCAGAAACCATTTCTCAAATTACTTCAGCTTAAAATAGTCAATATGCCAAGATGCCATATTTTAGGGGAACACGTTCTGAGCCCCATCAGGGCTACGGTGAAATTATAGTGAAACAAAAGCAATAAATACCTTTGGTGGCTTTATTCTTTTGTAGAAGTGGTTTTCAGAAATAGAGTCCTGCATTTTGGGATGTTAATGTTACTTCTCTTTCTATACACACACACATACACACTCACTCATTATTAGGCATTTTTATTAGGACTTAGGAGAATTTATATATCTAGGCCTGATTTAATGTTAGACCTAGTCTTCATGAATTTTATTGCACATAATATTAAGAAAGGAAAAAAATCTCATTGTATTAGATTCTGCCTCATACCCACAAAGGGCATTGTGTGCTTCTTGCTGTCCTTCCTAGACATAGTGTGTTACATCATAAGGCTGTTCTTCACTTTAACTGTGGACTTCCTCTTAGGAATCGGAGAAGATCATTGCTGAGCTGAATGAGACCTGGGAAGAGAAGCTGCGTAAAACAGAGGCCATCAGAATGGAGAGGTCAGCAAGTTAAACTCTCGGGGTTGTCTGCACATTCTCAGGGGAACTGGGATTCCTTTTATAGAAGGAGAAGTTAGCTGGAAGTAAAAATGAAGGGCCCCCTTGCCAACCACAGATCAGAACAGAACTCAGCCTGCTCTAGGTCTTCCCCCAGCAGAGCTTATATAGTTAGACCTACTTTAGGGAGTCCTGTGCTCATTACCATATTGCATCGTGTTCAGGGTCCATGTAAAATGGAAGATATTGAGGGATAGAGGGTTTTTTTTTTTTTAACATTTCTTTTTAGGGTGGGGGAGGGGCAGAGGGAGAGAGAGAATCCCAAGCAGGCTCCACACCCAGCATGGAGCCCAATGCGGGGCTCGATCCCATGACCCGGAGACCATGACCTGAGCTGAAATCAAGAGTCAAGAGTTGGATGCTTAACTGACTGAGCCACCCAGGTACCCTGGGATAGAGTTTTTACTTTGTAAAACAACTGCCTTTGATAAATAATATATAATTTAATATAAATAATAAAGCTCTCTGATGATTATGAGTTATGTTTTATAGAACCTCTTTGGTAAGAGGTGAAGTAGTTTCAGTTGCAGACTTTTATTTTTTTATTATTTTTTTTTAATATTTTATTTATTTGAGAGAAAGAATGAGAGAGAGAGAGAGAGCATGGGGGGGGAGGGTCAGAGGGAGAAGCAGACTCCCTGCTGAGCAAGGAGCCCGATGCGGGACTCGATCCTGGGACTCCAGGATCATGACCTGAGCCGAAGGCAGTCGCTTAACCAACTGAGACACCCAGGCACCCTGAGTTGCAGACTTTTAAAATCCCTTTTCTACTTTAACCTCTCAGTTCTCTACCCTGAAGGTGAGCATAACCCAAAATAATACTTTTCCTCTTGGGTTGAATATACATTAAAAAAAGGTCAGACTTGTCATCCCCCTTTATGGAAGATGAGGTAGAAGTAAGTGCTGATGTATTGATGCAGTGGATGTATCAAACAATTAGAATATTCTTATTATAGGGATTTTTTTCTTTTTAAAGATTTTATTTATTTGACAGAGAGATAGAGAGCACAAGTAGGCAGAGAGGCAGGCAGAGGGAGAGGGAGAAGCAGGCTCCCTGTTGAGCAGGGAGCCCAACGTGGGGCTCGATCCCAGGACCCTGGGATCATTGAGCCAAAGGCAGATGCTTAACTGACTGAGCCACCTGGGTGCCCCTCTTATTACAGGGATTTTAAGCTAAAATTCTTGAATCAATATGATGTTGGGCATGGGAGCATCACATTTGAGAAAATCACACTTATAGACAGTCTTCATATATCCAAGTTACTTTCTGATTGCTTTCAGATTTTGAAGAAATGGTTCTTTGAGTTAGATGTCTGGCCTTAAGGAATACCCCGTCTTCCTTTTTTTTTTTATATTAATAGACATATTATTTATGAATTACTGTATGCCTCCAAAGTCAGACGAGACGAAGTTCTTATTTGGGTGAATTCAACTTTCCTAACATGGGAACAGAACTTATTTTGAATGTGCTGTTTCCCTTAAATTCTCATGAATGATGGGATAGACAGATTTTTCACATTTGTATTACTAACACAGACAACAGTTTTTGCTCTGCATGCTTTACTTTCCAGTTCACAAGAGACTGATTTAATTGACATTTTGATATTGGTATTCTGATGTGCTTGTTGTTTTTCTAGAGAGGCCTTGTTGGCTGAGATGGGAGTGGCCATTCGGGAAGACGGAGGAACCCTGGGAGTTTTTTCACCTAAGAAGGTAGGACCCAACAGAAGCACTTCCTGTTTGTCTTGGTCACTGAGGCACTTCCGGTCTTTCAGGGCTGGCCCCTCCTCCCTTCATTTTATCTTAAGATTTGTCTTAATTTCAGACATTTCTGATTTCATCTTACAGTACAAGGGCAGCCTGTTTCTAAAATGCCTATCGTGTTTGCCGTTTACAAAATAAAACCCAAGGCAGTAAATCTAACTTTCGGTCATGATTCAGTATGATTACTCATCTGCATTGTTGCTTTCTCTTAAATTCCCAGCCTCTCACCTCACATACCTTGCTTCAGTTTGGCTACTCTTTCTATGTAGATTTTCCCACAGATGCCAGCAGCCCTGATTTATAACTCTTTGGAAGCAATTTCAGCTATTCAGGTTTGTGTAGAAAAATACCATGCAAGTTTGTTTCTGTAGTTTGTGTTACAGACAACCATTATACTGAGTAAAGCAGTTCCTGTTCTCACCCTTCTAGCCTCCTCTGCTCCTTTCTTAGGTTTTTTTTTTTTAAATGACTCCAGTAGTACCCTCCCACTTATGTAATCTTATAGTTGTTAGGTAGTAGATTCCTTGTAGCTAATTAGAAGAGTAAGGTAGGTTTTGGTTTTGGGGGTTTTTTGTTTTTGTTTTGTTTTGTTTTACTAAGTTGCTTCCTAGTAATTCTTAGATATTGGAAAACTATTATCAAATTATTTTTGTGTACTTCTTATATGACAATAATAGAACATATTTATTTATTTACAAAGCAGATATATTCGTGCCAGTAGTAAATGGTTCTTCATTTCAGATGACCCCAGCTTGCCTATCAGAGACTTACACATGTTCTGTGGGGTCTGATGATGATCTCTCTAGGTTGGCATAGAATGGGCAGGGGGGTTTCCATTTTTGTGTTTATATGATAGGAAATATTCCTGGTTTTTGCTAGGATTCTTTAGGTTTGGTTTTCCTGTCAAGGTCACATAACTTTTTTTAGGAATTCCATTGTATTATTATCAACAAAGAAGATTGTTTTAAAGACATTTTTGGTACACATCGTAGAACTGGAATAACAATAACAGTATTTTGTGTGTGTATTGCCAACGGTCTGTGATTTTCAGTTTAATAGTGTTTCCTTCAGTAAGACATTATTTGTTGAGATAGCATACTTAGGATTGTGGAGATTTTAGCATTTACGGGTTTGATCAGATTTGTGCCTTTGTGTGTATCGAAAGAGATTTTACAATGTCTTTGAGTGTTAAGAACTATATGGAAAAATTTTGTAACAACTTGTAAAACTATGGCATTTAACACAAGTCATAAATAATTTAAATAAGTGTGATATAAACAGCGCAGAATTCCACACTGAGATCTCTGTTTCCAAAGCTTTTTCTTACTTTAATTTTATGCATCTTGTTTTAACTTTCTAGACTTCCTCAGGAAAGGAAGGGATACACCACTGGCTACATCCAGATTCAGTTTTAGAACCTGTTTCTGATATGTTAACTTGATTGTGGTAATCATTGCATGCACATTCGCCACCTTAAAAAAAAAACAACATGTTGTACAACCTAAATGTATACAATTTTTACTTGTCAATCATACCTCCATAAAACTGGGTCGGGGGGAAATACTTTTAAGGCAAGGGGCAAACAGGCAAAACCTGTTTCCAGGATCCCCTTTTTCTAAGGCCAGTGTCCTAATGGGCTTTAAAGAACACAGCCCACAGAGGGCCTTGACTTTCTCAAACCAGCAGAGCTCTTAGACTACAGAGGCAGATGCTGATGTAGAGCTTTTTCTAATTTCTGTTTAATCATCTTTCTCATTCCCTGTTCTTAACCCTCTCATCTGATTCTTCTTTCATTTTTCCACATTTGCTGGCACTGTCTTGAGTAGATTTTGACCCCAAGACCATGTGACTTATTTTTGGATTCCAGTGGGGTATTTTCACCAAAGAAGGTTGGTTTTTTCAAAGATTTTAGAAATATTAGAGTTAGATGAAGAGGATTTTTACAAGATGTGTATATTGTTGAACGTCAGTGATTTTAATTTCTTCTTTAATGTAAAGACTAATAAACTAAAGACAATAGCTGAGACCGTGGAAGAAGTGATAAAAATTATAGAGGGAAATGCCAGGGGATGTGGGGACTTTTTTTTTTTTTTTTTAAAGATTTATTTATTTTAGGGGGAGGAGGGGCAGAGGGAGAAGGTGAGAGAATCTCAGGCAGACTCCATACTGAGTGCAGAGCCCAGTGTGGGGCTTGATCCCACAACCCTGAGATCATGACCCGAGCCAAAACCAAGAGTCAGATGCTCAACTGACTGTGCCACCCAGTCCCCCATTTTTTAAAGCAGTTTTATAGGGGCACCTGGGTGGCTCAGTGGGTTAAGTGTCTGCCTTTGGCTCAGGTCATGATCTCAGGATCCTGGGATCGAGCCCCGCTTTGGGCTCCCTGCTTGCCAGGGAGTCTGTTTCGCCCTCCCCTCTGTACCTCTCCCCCTGCTTGTGCTCTCTCTATCGCTCTCTCTCTCTCTCTTTCTCTCTGATGAATAAATAAAATCTTGAAAAGAAAACCCATTTTTATAAAGTAAATGAAAAGTTAAGTATTTCTGGAGATTGTAGGAAGGGAAGATAATTTTCCCTCTACCTGTTTGAGTTCTTGGCTGAGAGCCCTGTAATAAAAGGTTAATAAGAGAAAAACAAAAATAAACATATTAACATGTCTGCCTCAAGTATGTGTGGGAGCTACCCAAGGGAAAGTGAGTGACTCCCCAAGATGGCTTAGAATTCAGACTTAAATACCATCCTAGTAGGAAAAGGGGAGTGGGGATGTAGGCCTCTCAGGAGGGAATAAATGATTTTCAGGAAAGATGAAGGGGCCCTTGGAAGAATAGATGGAAGGTGTGATCGTTTGTGACAAAGTCTATTTGAGTGTGGTGTCGACTTCTGGTCTCCTTTCCTGGGATTCAAGTCCTTCCTTCCTGGTTGATGGACTCCCGAGGGGACATGGCAGCCGAGGCCCTTTAGGAGGACCTATCTTCAGGCAGGAGAGGGGGTTCAAAGAAAGCCTCTCCCTGCATTTGCTGTTTTTCAGGTGCCTTCAGCTCAAAATAATCAATATGTAAAGTGGCATATTTTGGGGTAGCGTATTTTGTTACCCTTCAAGATTTTTGTCCAGATAGTTACAAAAATTATGATTAACCCATCCAGAGAATCGTCCTGTCCTTATTTTTCTTTTGTATCCTTCATGCTTTGACCTTATCAAGAATTGGATCTTGTTCTTTATCCCTGAACTCATGTTTTTAAATAGAATGTATTAGTGCAGTTTGAGAAGGCCTGAAGAGAGTGTTTTCTTTTTGTATGGAATTGCAGCTGGGAACTAGAATAAAAGACATTCCTCTTCTAGGGACTGTGGGTAATCCAGGAAGCCATTGGCCTCCTGTAGGTCACTGTTATTGTCACTGCCCACCCAGTGGTACTTGCTCCAAATCGATCATCTGTACCCTTTTTCAGACCCCACATCTTGTTAACCTCAATGAGGACCCACTAATGTCTGAATGCCTGCTTTATTACATCAAAGATGGAATTACAAGGTATATTTGTTTCTTTTGGTCATTTACTGTTTTCTGTTCTTGTAAATGATTGAATAACTAAAGAGATGTTATTTGTTGAAAAATTGTTGTAATGACTTGCTGTTTTTTGTGTCTGAAATAGTTAACAAACTATCCTGTCTTCCCAAATTATGTAAGTGCTTTAGCCATCTGAACCAGTTAACATGTAGTTTTCCCTAAAAACCCTAAGTAAAAATTTTTTTTTTTTCCTAACTTCTTATATGAATTCATTAGGGAGATTAGTTCACTTGTGTCTTTTTATAAAGCTGAGTGAGTTACATTGATGTATCCTTGCTCCTTGGTTTCTTATTCTAATGTTAGGGAGGTTGATCATATGTGAAAATAAAATTTGCAGTTGAAAGCCTCTGATAAAAAGAAGCGATACCTTTTTTGTGCATACCAAAGAATATTCTTTGGGAGAAAGAGGTTCATTGTTTTCAGTGCTTTTTGTGTCTGAATTTCCCTGGGAAACACTTTCTCTTGTGTTCAGGGTTGGCCAAGCAGATGCTGAACGGCGCCAGGACATCGTGCTGAGTGGGGCTCACATTCAAGAAGAGCATTGTATCTTCCGGAGCGAGAGAAACAACAGTGGGGACGGTGAGAGTTCCTGGCGTAGCTTTTCCAACAACCTTTTCATTCTATATTACTAGAAATCCCCAGGGCTTGGTATTCCCTGTCTCTCTCAGTGATACTTTCTTGTACAATCTCATATTTGGGAAAATGGAGAAACCTGGCCTGCTTACAAATGCAGGGACGGACATAGCTGTTTTACATGAAAATAGCCTGGACAAAAGGAGCCCTTTTGTAACTGCCAAGAACTGAGCAGGACATAGGCAGTTAGGCTTGGTCTTGAATGTTAATTATTTAATAGACAAGTAAGAAAGGAACAAATATCCTGGGTAGTGGGAGATTTGAAGGACCCCTAATCTTAACCCAGAACGTATTTTTTCTAGAAGGGAAGAAAAAGTCGGTCTTGATTTTTGTCTGGGTTACTAACAGAACAATAATCTAATGGTATTTTTGTGCTAAATGACTCATTCCTTTAATCAAAATATTTAGCTGCTTTTGATCTTATGTTTCTGGTTTAGTACCTATATCTTACACTTAAGATTTCTGATGGTTTTCAGTTTTATGGACTGAACTGTCACATATCACCAAAACGACCATTTCCCATCTTCTGAGGTTTGTCATATTCATTTAAATGTTTCTCTTAGCCACACCCCTGGTTTTGATACCCTAAAATGAACTATTATATAGATGCTCTGCCGCTTGGCTGATTGCAGGAATGTATTCTAGTTACCCTGAATCTTCACAGTCATCTTCTTTTCATTGTTTTATTCCAGTGGTTTGTGATGCTAACACTAGTTTGTTCTTCTTAGTTATTGTGACCCTAGAGCCCTGTGAACGCTCAGAAACCTACGTAAATGGCAAGAGGGTGGCCCAGCCCGTTCAGCTGCGCTCAGGTGAGACTGGGAAAGTTGTTTTGTTTTTTTGAAGTCCTTTGCTTTTTCCTTTTTTTTTAAAAGATTTTATTCATTTATTTGAGAAAGAGTGCACGCAAGTTGGGGGGAGGGGCAGAGGAAGAGGGAGGAAGCAGACTCCCCGCTGAGCAGGGAGCCCCACTTGGGGCTCGATCTCAGGATCCTGAGATCATGACCTGGGCCGAAATCAAGAGTTGGACGCTTAACCAACTGAGCCACCACCCACGCGCCCCTGAGACTGGGAAAGGTTTGAAGTCTTCAGTAAAGAACACGTGGTTTGTGTGAGCAACTCTTTAATTTTTGACTCTTTGTTTAAAGACTGAAGTATGATAGCATTAGGATTTCTGTTCTTGTAAAACTCCAAAAGCTGTCTTTTTGCCTTAGGGAAAGGGAGGGAGAGTGAGGTTATTAACTTAGATAGGTATACCTTTAAAAAATGGCTTCTTAACTCTGTTTCTGTTTTGTGCTAGGAAACCGTATCATCATGGGTAAAAACCATGTGTTTCGTTTCAACCACCCGGAGCAAGCACGGGCAGAGCGGGAGAAGACTCCTTCTGCTGAGACCCCCTCTGAGCCTGTGGACTGGACATTTGCCCAGAGAGAACTTCTGGAAAAACAAGGGATTGATATGAAGCAGGAGATGGAGAAAAGGTAATGCACAAATATGATATGGCCCCCATGACTATCACTTCTTTTAAACATGCAGTATATAGCGCTCATGAAACAGCCCAGTGATTTCACAGTTTGTTCTTTCCTCTCTTGTTTTTCTTTTCCTTCTAGACTACAGGAGATGGAGATCCTATACAAAAAGGAGAAGGAAGAAGCAGATCTTCTCTTGGAGCAGCAGAGACTGGTAGGAGTCCATCCTGAATCCTCTGTTAGGAAAAGGGCAGCTTGCTCTCATACCTTCCCTGTTCCACAGATGAGCACTTGCCCAGTTGCTTGTCCAGCTCTCACTGATACCATATGCTCTTCTCTCATTTACTTAATGGAGAATGAACTTACATCTCCTGGTAGCCTTAGCTTGAAAAAGTGTCCATAAAGGTACAGTTTTGTGCCTTTTATGTCTTAAAGTTAAATCTTTAGTTCTAGCAAAACCAAGTGCTTTTTGAGGAGTTAATGGGAGCTTTTCTGGTAGGCTTTACCTCTTGATGGTGGTTTTTGAGTACGCTGCAGTGGTGATTCTTTTAATGATAAATATATTGAATATTGAATTTAGTGAGTGTTTGCCTTGGTTTTGTTTCTGATCACCTGATAGTACTAATTCTCTGCTCTTGGGCTGACTTGGGGATTGTTCTTGTGCTGGGCAGACTTTTTTTTTTTTTCTTTTTCTTTTTTTAGTTAAACTGTGTCTAAAAGTGTTGCTACACAGTTGCATGTGTTAATCCTTTTCTGTTCCCCTGCATGGAGTCTGAATTCTCAATAAGGGTCTCCGTGGCCTCTGGGATGACAGTGGAAGCAGGGGCTACACAGCAGCTCAGATAGTAGAAGGAAGCCTGGTTTCTCCGGTTTGAGAAAGATTTGGGTGAGCCGCTGAAAAGTTGGTTTGAGGTTGCAGCTTATAATGCTAATGGATTTAGCATTTTATGATGTAAATTGATTCTCTAAGTTTGATAGAAACTGAATCTCATGAATAAATAAGTTGACCCATTAGTTAGATTTTCATTTTTAAAGCAATCCAGCTTTGGTTAACAAAGCCCTGGTCATAAAAAGCTTCTTCTTGGCATTCATTTGATATGTAAGGAAAAGGTATAATAAACCTTTGGGTACTGTGGATACAATTTAGGATATTTTAAGACTCATAGACTTCTTTTAAGATAAGGAGAAAGCTGGGATACTGGTTTCTTCCCTTAGCATAAAACATAGCATCTAAAATAGTGTGTGTAAACTGCAGCCTTCTGGTCATGCTCTGCTTTGGAGAAGAGAGGCTGGTGCTAAATGGGCCAGAAATGCCAAAAGCAGCCTTTTCCAGGGCCACTCATTTCTTAGGCCTGGCAGTGGGTTAAACCAGTTAGTTTGTTGTCTTAGAAACTCTAGTGAAGTCCAAGAAAGAATAAATCAAGTATTTGGGGCAAGACAATAGCAGTGTTCAAATCCCTTTATGAGGCCTAGTTGACATTTAGTTTTTAATGAAAACAGAAGGATTTGACTACAGTGTGATTAGGAGCTTGAAAGGTTTGTGACACATGAGGAGCCTTTTATCTTAATAATGTATAATCTAATAACATGCCTCTGATGGTCTGTGACAGATCAAATGAGGACAGGTATCATTAAGCTGTATGTATCATTAACAGTAGTGCCTTGTATTTGTATAGTGCTTTATAATTTACAGGGAGCTTTAACATCCACCATTTTTTTTTTAATTCCCAAAACAGCCCTCCTTGATAGGTGTGTATGTAAATAAAATGAGTAATATTACCTCCAATTTATAGTTGAGGAAACCAAGGCTAAAAAATGCTGTCTTGCTCACTCTTAAACACCTGTTAAGTCATGGGTCTGAGGCTTAATCTTGGGGCTTCTGAATTGCTTCAGTGTTCTTTCTGTCCAGTAAGAGCAGTGCTTCTTCACCAGCTGGGAGTCCTGTTAAAATGCAGATGCTGATTCAGTAGGCCTGGGGTGGGACCTGAGAGTCTACATTTCTAATGAGCTCCCAGGTGATGCCAGCACTGCTAATCCAAGACCAGCCTTTGAGTAACCAGGTGAGAAAGAATGATGATGGCTGGTGCTCTCCATAACCAAGAGCTGATGATCATTCTTTGCTCTGAAATAAAGATGATGACCATCAAATAAAGAGAAAGTAAATGTCTCTAAGACATACTTAGTTTCCAGGGGACATACTTAGCCTGCAAGTGATCAGGTTCTGGTTGTCATATGTTCTGTGTATCTGAAAGCAAGCTAGGATTTTCAAGAGCAGCTACTTAAAGCAAGAAGGTTGCTTTCCTCCCCCCTAGGTCCAGCTGTCTATTCCACTCAGATTTCTCGTCCTCCAGAGGAATTGATTTCTAATGCCTTAGCCTGAAGAATATTTAGCAGTAACAATACTGAATGGAAGATGTATTTTTATGACCCTGTATTGGTCAGCCAACAGATTTTTATGACCCTGTATTGGTCAGCCAACAGATACATTTTGAATGCACCCTATGAATAAACACTGAGAGGATATAAAGGAATAATTATTCAGTAAATATGTATTAATATTATATGTAATCATTTTTTGCGTAATGACAACATTAAAAAACGGAATTCAGGCTTATGAGTTTTCTATTATGATAGTTCCCCAGATGCGTCATATAGTCGCAGTGCTGAACCTTCTCTTCTAGTTAGTGCTCTATTACACACCTGGTCCTTTCTGTACTTGCTTTTTCACCTATGTCTTTTAGGTGTCTTCTTTCTTCTTTCTGCACAAGCTTCTTGCACAGTCTCTTCAGGAGGCCTTTGCTTTGGGATTTAATGAAAACAGAAGCATCATTTAGTGACACGAATTGGCCAGACCTGAGTAGTAGTTTTTCCAACTCTGTAATAAGTGAATCTAAATATCTTTAAATCTTTTTTGACATGAGATAGGGTGTACATCTTGGCACATAAACTTTGCCTACGGAATTTTTAGTATCATGGTCAGTATGTGATATGGGGACTGTAAGGAGAACATATTCTACAAAGATAATATGGTAGTATTTTATTTTATCTTATTTTATTTATGGGGGGGGAGAGAGAATCTTAAGCATCCTCCACTCCTAGCACGGAGCCCAGTGTGGGGCTTGATCTCACGACCTAAGCCAAAATCAAGAGTTGGATGCTTATCTGACTGAGCCACCCAGGTGCCCCCAATGTGATAGTATTTTAAAAAGAATGAAAATTATGGCCACTTAATTTAATTTGAGTTCCTTTGGATTTATGTAGACATTCTTATTTATTTATGTTTTATTTTAGAGTTTAAAGACCTAATCTCTGCCTCTCAAGCGTGATATTATGAAAGCAGTGATTAGAATATTTGTTATTTCGTAGATTAGGTAGTATTCATTTCATCCTTGAGCAATCTTAAAAGGAAAAGAAAAGAAGCTGGGGGGGGTGGATAGAGTGATAGTTGTCAGTTACGTGGGAACAGTCAGAGTATATTATGTTCTATAAAATTTAGTTTATACATACTGGCAGGAAGACCTTTTTTAGGAGTCAGACACATTTTTTTCCTCTAATGTTTATTAATGTCCTCTTTTATCACTCAGATGAGACATTCTGAGGTTTAAACTAAAAATGAAAAAAAATTAGTGTAGAGTCTATAAATTTAACTCCATCTGCTTTTTGTTAAATTTTCAAATAGGTACTAAACCCATTTATAGACCAACAGAAATAATACAAATCAGCACCTCCAAATTCAGGGACCAAATTATTGTCATTATTGTTAAAAGTTATTTTTTAGAAATAACTGTACATAGGCATCTTTGGCCTAGAAAGCAAGATACTGTTTACTAGAGATAATTTTGGTAATCACAGCCAAGTAAAAGAGAGTATTAAGATTTTTTTTTTTTAACTAGACTATCCTGAACTACTCTTCTAAGTGAATAGTTTCTTTTCCAAGGAACTTTTATTTCCTGAATAGAAATTCTTCCTTAAGCCTTCCTTAATTCCATAGGGAATTCTAAATCTAACATTGTTTTTGTGTAGATCCAACATTGCTTTCATGTCATAAAGATGTGCTTGTGTTATTTAAGAACAATTGATTATTATCCAGGTAGCTCTTGAAGACTAGTTAGTTGGGCAGTTAGGCTGCGGTTTTGTTTTGTTTTAAGATTTATTTATCTGAGAGAAAGCAAGAGAGCAGCAGAGGGAGAGGGAAAAGCAGACTGCACTCTGAGTGGGGAGCCCGACTCAGGCCTCAATCCCAGGACCCTGAGCGAAAGGCAGAAGCTTAACCGACCGAGCCGCCCAGGGGCCCCTGGGCTGCTGTTTTACTTGGGCCTAAAACAGAAGTAAACAGCAGCCTGACTGCCCATCTAAAGTTTTTGAAAATGAGGTAAAGTGCAAACATAGCTGGAAAGACAATTAGAGACAGCATTTTAAAGTGGATCTATTTTACCTAAGCAGAATATAATCTTTCTGTTTTATATGCTTATAGGTAGAGTTGTCACTTAAAGTGATACTCCTCAAATAGCTAGAAATGCCATGGGTTTTCATAGATAGAAAACATCTTTAGGTCATATTTATTAAAATATTACTTGGGGAATTTTAAATGATGTTTAATGAAAGTATATTTGCCTAGCTTAATTTATGTTCTGGAAACTTCTTAAAATTTTGGAGGTGAAGTGTTTATTGGTTTAAGTGTGTGAAAACAAAAAAGCAGACCCACTATGAGGATCTTTTTTTTTATGCTTCCTTGTTCTGTGGATAACAAATGTTAGTTGTACAAATGTAGCACATCAACTTAGCATGACAGGAAAATAGTAAATCCAGTATATGCTCGTGAAAGGACTAGTTTCAAAACTCACTTGTCTTCTAGAGAAAAGTTTGGTTGATAAGAACCCCATGTGGTCTGCTGATAGGGATTCATTTTTAACATCATCCCTGTTTGACTGCTTCTTTTTCTACCTTCTCCTCTTCTAACTTTTTTCTAGGGCTGCTCTTTTTAGTAAAGCTAAACAAAACGTGGCATCCTACAGCCTTACTAACCTTTGTTAATCCGCCTGCTCGTCACATCTTGTATGGCATCTGTGCTCACTCATGGGGGAAAGAGTTTCTGGAAGAAGCAACAGCAATAACCAAGGCAAATGTGGGGACATGGCTGCATGGGGTGTTAGCATGTGTGGGGCGTAGGTTTTACTGCATTTCCGCAGGATGGTGGAGGTGTTACTTCACAGC